ATGCATCGTGTATAGGAAAAACACTTGTCGTATTATCGATGATGGTGTGACTTTCCCAATGTAGTGGTGTGGGGAGTAGTGGTATTAGGATTTAAATCATTTTATTTTATTTCGCGGATCTTAATAATTTTTTAATATAATGGAATTCCGCAAAATAACGCCTGATTCTATATTTCATACTATATTTCTTTAATTTTGGGCTTGTATATAATGCCACAGTTCCCACATTTAGAAGTTGGTTGGCAACCGTAACTTTGTGAATCATATCTTACGTCTATCTTTGTTGGGAACAGAGCACTCGAAGTTGTTGACGAGTATTTGTACCTGGGTACCCCGGCTATAAAATCACTCCAGACTGAGATATATGAACCTGGTACAGTAAGAGGCATTTGTGTCAGAAAAAACTTTCGATGCCATCGAAGGCTTTCAATGGATGGCGGTATAATCTAATTAACCGTTTGCCAGACGTAAAACACCCAGATTTTTTTAGCTTATTATAAGCCAATGCTTGACCACATTCCCACCTGGTGGTAAGTATTGATGCAGCCCTAAATGGTAAATCGCACTGTCTTAGCGTAACAAAACCCTAGATCGGCAATGGTCAGTACTGTCAATGGTGCAAGGCATCTCATCAGGTAATGCGACCATTAACCCGCATGCCAATCATAACGATTAGGACAAATCCTCCGTATGACGTGGTCCAGCAGTGATATTTAAGGGGGCTGACAAGATATAAGAAATTTAAGATTTCCAGTTTTTTATTCAAAGATTTTCATAACTCTGACATCAAAGGTACGAGACATCTATTACCTATCCTCTATCATTAATCCGTCTGCCAAGCATGACGATTAAATCAAATCCAGCCTATTACAGAGGGAAGGGAGACATCCAGCAGTATAATTTTAGAGGCTGCAAAAATTATATGGAACAATAAATAAATAGTTATTTGCAAATGATTTTCAAAAAAAACGTATACATTATACGTGAATAATATACGATATACATAACTTCAGCATGTCTCTACATGTTCGGTTCGACCGGGGAAAGACCACGCTCGCACAGAATACCAGAAAAACAGCAGCTTAATGCTGCTGTGTTTCGTATGGTGAGCGTAAAGAATCGGAGGTCCTTTTTACAGGACACGAGGCATTAAATCTTAGTCCTCATGGGCAACGCATTCGCATTTTGATTCTTAATTGAGGATAGTAAATATCTATGGGCCGCAGCATTCACTTAACATCAGGTGGGCTGTTCGTTCGTTTGTCACCCTTATGCTATAAAAAATAAACTCAGATATCGACGTACCAGTGCTAGTGACATGTCAGCTCGATTGTTTGCGTGCTTCAACGCTTCCCGCAATGGTAAAGCACAGCTTGCGAAGACTTCGCTTGGATTATTGAGTTCACAAATTTCTATGGACATTTCTTCCTATGAATTGTTGACAAATTTTAAAAGATATTGCATGACCATATAGCATCGTGTGATGACACTGTCCATTAAACCATCTTGCTTGCTATAGCTCACACATTTGCTGAAAGCCTATCATAATTCTTGAGTGTAGTTAGAAAAAAAAAATTCTTAATGATATCTTATATTTAGGCGAATATCACTGTGTAGTGCCGGTGTAAGAATATCCACTACCCCATATCATGCCGTGGGTGTCGTAAGAGGCGACAGAGGGAAACAAATCAGGAGATGGGCAGCTGCGTCTTCTTAATAACTCCTGCATTCGTCTTCCTCCTCCGTTTTGACGGGACTGTCACTGGCAGATGGCAGATAGCTTATGTCATAAGAAGTAATTTAGGATACTTTTATTTTTTTTAAAGAACTAGAGTTCCGGGCGAAAAATTAAAACCCATGAAATCCATCGTAGTCGCGGTGAACAGCTTGTTATATGATATAATGGAGAAATTTCTTTCTGTCCCATTTTCGTAGATACGTCTACAGATATAAATTATTTGGATTTTTTTTGTTTTACTTCGATACTTGATGAAGCTATTAATTAGAGCTCTAGTTTCGACGTTATTTGCCAGTGGTAACCGTAAAACTCTCGAAATATGATCACCGCCGACCCCACTGAAATTTTACATACTTGGCAGTTAAGGACAATCTTCAGAAAGTCTGCATTTTCAATTTTGCAATGGAGCAACGAGGGTGAATTCTTTCCTTTTTGCCAACGATGTCAAAAATGAGGCCTGTGTCCTGCAGTGAGATGTAGGTACAGATGGCGAAACAGGTGTCTACTACTGTAGGTACCATAAATTTTAAGTTTTTGAGTCCAAAGAACGTAGCAGCTTAATGCTGCTGTGTTTCGTATGGTGAGTGTAGAGAACCGGAAACATTTATTATGGAAAACCGGAAACATACATTACTGGAAACGAGACATTCCATCTTAGTCGTCGGGGGTGACGGCGCATCTACATTTTGATTTTTAATCAATGATAGATGTCTATGGTCCATGTCCACTTACCATCAAGTGAACTGTGTCCTCGTTTGTAACCCTTATTCTATATTTTAAAAAAAAAACATAAAAAAATGATTACTCACATTCCTCACATAGTCGAGGAATTGCGCAGTGAACGGCATTTGGTACTCTGTAGAGAAGTCAATGTGGACAACTCGACTAGGGTGCATACGGGCCATGACTGAGTTTGAGTTGTAGAAACGCCACGTGAGAGCTAATGATCTGCCGCGAGAGGAAACCACCGCCTGTGATAAATGTTATGGCGTGGCGTTAAGCTTGATGGTGTGTTTCCTTTTCTGTAGTTTTGTTATATGTGATAAAACCACGCTGCAGCTGTGTTATTGCAGCACCGATCGGATCGACCGGAGAAGGACCACGCTCGCACAGAATACCAGCGTCAAATAGCAGCTTAACACTGCTGTGTTTCGTATGGTGAGTGTAGCGAACCGGAGACCCTTTTTACTGGAAAAGAGGCATTCCATCTTAGTCTTCACGGGTGATAACGCATCTGCTTTTTGATTCGTAAATGAGGAAAAATGTGGATGTCTATGGGCCACAGCGACCACTTACCATCAGGTGGACTGTGTGCTCGTTTGTCACCCTATCCTATAAAAAAAAAGAATACCAGTCCGAAATAGCAGTATATTGCGTTTTTTTTACTGCTTCGTTGTTCTCGTGGTTGTAAATGCGACTGCTAATCATGAGATCCCGGGGTCGAACCCTGGGTCGGGTGAAAAAAAAAACAGTTATAGAGTTTTTTTCTCACGGAATTCTCAGCAGACCGGAGTCAAGAAGTCGGCAGTGTTTCAAACCACGCCTCGAGAAGCACGTAAAAAAGCGTTGGTCCTGCGCCTGATCTCTCTCTGAACATGTTTACCCTCCCATCATACTATGAGAGCGTAGAGTACACCTATGCATGCGCATAAGCTCCGGCACTATAATTCTGTACTGCACAGATGCCAAATTTCTTAAAACTAATCAATTATAATAATTCTTAACTTATTACTCTTTACGTCTCACTTTTAAAGTCTGTTTCAATGTGCAAGTTCCCCGAAAAATATGCGCACTATAATGTTAATTATGGAATTTGACAGTACACGTTGTGGCGCCGAGGCTGAGGGATAAAAATACTCTTCTTAAACTATAGCTTAACGAGGCAGTGCCATGCTGCAGCTTTGTTATGGTTGAAACACGAATGGGTCGGCTACACCGGAGGACCACGCTCTCAAAGAAAACCAGCGTAAAAATAACAGCTCAATGCTGCTGTATTTCGTTTAGTGTAGAGAACCGGAGACCCTTTTTACTGGAAATGAGGCATTCCATCTTAGTCCTCAGGAGTGCCGACGCATAGTTGTCTATGGGCCACTTACCATCAGGTGAACAGTGTGCTCGTTTGTCACCCTTATTCTATAAAAAAAAGAACCACGGTCAAACTGAATACCAGTTTAATTAGCAGCATAATGCTGTTCTGTGTGGTGACGCATCTACATTTTGATTCTCAACCGAGAAAACAGAAGGGTCTAAGAACCATAGCATCCGAAATCTACATACGATACACGAGCACACAGTCAGATCTACTGTGCTCGCTTGTCACACTTACTTCTAGAAAAAAATCTTCTAAAATGGACGACGTCAACGACTAACCTGATCGGACAACACCACAGTACCGATATGAAGCGTGAACGTGCAGATAGGTATAAAGGTGGGCACTATATGGGCCTTGCCTTCCGACTCACGAAGTGCAATTGTGTCAGATTCCAACTCTCTCGTCGCCGAAACGTTCTTCGAATTTTGAGGCTGTGGCGTGAAATGGTAAATCGTGAATATACGCGTTTGTACTCTGTACTGTGAACAACACGCAGAGTTGTCAGAGTTTTACTCTAGTACTGATAGGTCATGGTAATTTGGTTGTATCCCTGAGAACTAAGATGGATTACCTCGTTTCCAGTAAAATGAAGGTGTATTGGCTGTTTTTTTTAGTTTATATAAGAGATTAGGTAAAGATTGAATCTTTACCTAAACTATACTTTTAAATAAAACTGAAGTGTTTGACTTATATCGAAATAACTACCTTATTATTCAGCTGAGGGAATCATTTGCGTGCCAATATGATATATTACGTTTTAAAATATTAAGACTTTTGTCTGTATCCGCCTGTCCTGGCTAAGCTTTGGAATGCCTGACTGGTACCAGGAGTGATCGAGGCTATATTTTATCCAAAAAACTTGGGAGATCTTTTTGTGAAATCGACAAATTGATAAAATCTTGGTGGTCTTTGATTATCTTAAATATAAATAATGCCACGTTGATAAATTCTAACAGGCGGCCGGGCGGGATGGGTAGTTAATATAAATAAATTTATAACTTAATTTATTCATGATCACTTTACTTACACTTACACTACTGAAACTGTATAACTTCAATTCAACAAAATGCTAAAATTTCAATACAATAAATAAGTTAAAAATAATATTATACCTGTATGTTAAAAAATAAAATGAATAGGTCTAGGAAAAGTAAATAAAACATCGATATTCATATAAATTAACATCAATTAATTCTTTATTTACTTAAAAAAGTAGTAGTATCAATTAATATTAAATTTTTCTAGGCCTACATTATAACACTTACATACAAGATAATAATATAAAAATAACAAATCAAATTTTCTGTTGAACAAAATAAAGTAGTCATGGAAATTACACCGATTTCTACTTTTATAAAGAAGAAAAACATAATAAGATAGACGCTATCTCTATCTTTTATTTATCGTTATATCTTTTTAACTGGCCTACTGGAAGAAATTTCATTTATGAAATAAGTAGCGCCCTTGTACAAACTCTTTATCATGATGTGTCATCTACATTGTTTTTGGTACATAAATCGTTAAATAAATAAAATAAGCAAATTCATCATCATCATCATTACAGCCCACAAGTCCACTGCTTAACAGAACTTCCTGCATGTATATCCAGGTCGTCTCTCCATCTAGTAGGGCCACCCGGCACTTGTTGCCACTTAAAAACCTTTTTTCTCCATCGGCTGTCGCTTCTTCGAGAGAGATTCTATTCTTCTTCAGTTTTAACTGTAATTTTAAGTGCCGAATTACCCATGGGTTCGACGGTGAAGGAAAATATCGTGAGGAAACCTGCATTTTTGAGAAATAAAATAGTTCTAGAACCAGTTAAATTCGGCAAAATACAATGTAGCAAAAACGGCGGAAAAACTGGTCCATAAATCTCTCAGAAATAAGATAAGTCTTGAGACCAACAGTGGAACCTTTATAAACTATAACTTTACATATGTAATTTATTTTCGTCTATGGTACATTAATAGATTACACAATAAATACAAATTTAAGTGATTATTTGATATACAATCAATTTAAAAAAAAAACATTGGAAGGTATGATATAAAAATGTCAATAAAATAATTTTAAACCACATAATGTATTAGATTTAAATATTGCTACAAATCTATGAGAATAAACTTCATATTACGTGAAATTATAAATAAATGAATTTTAACTCTAACATTTACATTATGTTACAATTTACAAGTGTCTTACATATTATACGGATAATATACAATTGTTATGAATATTACGGAAATGTATTTGTCAGTATATAAAAAAGCTTTTAGAGAATTTAGATAAAGTCCTAGTTTCCTTTTTACATGACTTTTAAAGGAGTGTTTTAATACCAATGTATTTTTTACATTGTCTGAAGTATATAAAACGATTCTGTAGTATATAAATCTCATATTATATACATCACTATTAGTTTATATATAGAGTATAGAAGCACTCTCATCTAAGGTATAGAGCACGAAGCTGAGTAATGTGTGAATTGTGTAACTATAGTAAACCTAGAAAAGTGAACTAGATGAAATCACTATACATTAAGAATAATACAATTTTTGCTGATTTATTTAAAAAAATTTTTTTGTTTATTCTCACATTGGACCAAAACACCTCAGATCCATATATCGTTTATATTTTTAACTATCCCATTATTAGACAACATTTTGTTGAGTTCCTGTTGGAACCAGTCTGTTCGGTAGATGAAGTTCAAGTACCGGCGGGTGAGGCAGTCGTGGCAGACGTCGACATCTACAGGGACAGAATGTTTTACAAAGCGTAAAACAAACGAAAAGCGACAACTCGAACAAACTGAAGTAAACCCCGTGCGGGATGCGAAAATAGCGTCATGAGCGAATATTATTATTAACTAAGTTCCACATTCCAACTTAATCCTCAGAGTTTACAATGCATGTACATCTACATCTTCTTTGTTTAAAGATGGCTGCAGGTATCCATGGTCTGCAGTAGCTACTCAATTTCATAAATATATAATTTAATACTAGCGTCTCTTAAGCCTTGCATCTCTTGGCGCCACATTGAACGCTCTTTTAGTGCAGAGAACCGAAGAGTTTTTACTGAAAATGAGGCATTCCATTTTTGTCCTCATGGTGACAATGCATTTGCATTTTAATTCTTAATCGAACATAAGTGTAGGTGTGTATGGGCCACGACATGCATTTACAAATATATGGACTGTGTGCTCGTTAAGTTAACTTACTTCTATAAAAAAATATAAAGTGAAAGTCTATGTGACAGGAGTGATAAAGATGATTTGTGAATATAGTGAGTGTAGAAGATAGCAGAATAATATAATATGCTATGATGTGTGCTAGTTGTGGAAGGTAGAGCAAGTGTGACAGGAACGGCATAAGTAGCAGATGTGGAAGGCTTAACCAGTTTAGCACATGTGGCACGTATGGCACGTGTGGCAATCGTGGCATTATTGTCACGTGTGGCGTTTATGGCAGATATGGTACGTTCGGGGAGTGTGGCATGTAAGGCAAGTATGGTAATTATGACAGGTGTGGCACATATTACAAATATGACATCTATGGTAGGTGGGTCACGCCTGGCAGTTGTGGCAAGAGTGGCACGTATGTCGTGTGTGGCAGTTGTGGCGGTGGATCACCTGCGCGTGTTGCAGCAGACGCGAGCAGCGCTGCACCTCCGCGCCGATGCTCTGCAGCGTCTGCTGCATCTTCTGCGGACTCGTCACATCCGCACTATCAACAAAGTTTGTACACTTTTAAATAACTACAATAAGAAAACCAGCCACGATTGATAATTTACAATTAACGGTAGAAAGGCAAATTTCATAACTATATAATCGAACATATTGTGAAATGCAGAATATCATTCAAAAATGTAAGTATATTCTATTTAAATATTTTAGGGCCTATTACATTACGCGATATCCGTATTTAATTACTTGCAAACAGTAGATATTTATTTATTCATTTTATTCATTCAAGCAGACTCAAAAAATGACAAATTATTTTTTAACTAATATAAAAACGTGTGTAACCGTGGGTGTCGTAAATGGCGACAGAGAGAAACCGAAGCAGGAGGTGGGCAGCAGCACTTTACTGATAACAACCCAAAATAATAAAAAACTGCGGTCGCCACCCTGCCTGCCAATCCTGACACCAATGACAAAATCTCCTCTGTGAGCCAATCTACAGAAGATGCCTGGGTTCATCCTGAACTTTTATAGGCTGTAATGGAATGTATGTACATTGTACCCTACAATATATCCCAACACAGAAACCTATTTTTGTTGTATTATAATTATGTAATCTTTATTATTTCGTAATAGCTATATATAAATTTCAATAAAAATAGATGATAATTTAAAGTCGGTTAATGCCGGCTGCAAATTGTAAGAAATTATCATCGATCAGAAAAAATCTCACGCGTTCCGGATGAATATATTATATATAACTAGCGATATATATATATTTATATATTTATTATATATATTTATATATATATATATATATATATATATATATATATATATATATATATATATATATATATATATATATATATATATATATATATATAATTCTAGTATATAAATATAAAGAAACTTTCAATAGAATCAAATCAGAAATTTAGTTCCGAGAATCCTATTTATCGCTATCTTTATTTTATATAAATATATAAATGCCTTTATATATAAAAATATAAAGGCATTTTTTACACCTCCTCGTTCGCACGCACTGATTGGCTCCCCAGTCGCATTCGTGCAATTCAATTCGTGCGCGTCCCCTACACGTTTTGTTCAGCGCAAGACTTACGTGCCGCGACTTATAGCATGCATCCGGCGAGTGTTAAAAGCTCACGATGGCTCCAGGAAATGTCACAGTCTACTAGTGCAAAATTTATGTTCCTTCCGCGTTAATTTTAAAGAAAATAGAACAGACAAGAAAACATTAAAATACTTAAGGTTAAGGCTTTTTAAGCAAAATGTCTTTGATCAATAAACCTTCCACCACCGGACAACCAGTTTTGGCCGCCCAAGCTCCGTTCTTTTGTTGTCGGCGCACCACGCATTCTAACTAAACTGTTTGCATTTCCGTAATACATACAGCAAAGGAGTGGAATAATTTACCAGCATCTTTCCATCTAATTACAATGTCGATGTTTTCAAGGCAAAAGTGAATAGGCTTCTGTTAAAGAGTTAAACTAAGTTTTGAGTGCTTTACCTTCTTCAGCTACATCACCACTTACCATCAGGTGTGATAGTAATCAAGCACAGGCTAATAATAGTCAAAATTTGTTTATTTTAAGACTTACAAATTCCGACAATTTTTCTTAGAAATTTTAATTTTAATATTACATCATTAAAAATAATCATCATCATCATCATTACAGCCCTTCACCAATCCACTGCTGAACATAGGCCTCCCCCAAGGAATGCCACAAAGCACGGTCCTGAGCCACCTGCACCCATCGACTGCCTGCATATCTTACCACGTCGTCACTCCATCTAGTGGGGGACGCCCTACACTTCGCCTGCCGGTACGAGACCGCCACTCGAGAACCTTTTTTCCCCATCGGTTGTCGGTTCTTCGAGCTATATGGCCGGCCCATTGCCACTGGGCTATGTCGGTCACTCTGGTTCTACTGCGGATATCCTCATTTCTAAGTTTATCACGCAGAGAAAGTCCGAGCATAGCCCTCTCCATAGCTCATTGAGCGACCTTGAGCTTTCTCATCCGGCCAGCAGTGAAGGACCACGTCTCAGTTCCATATGTCATCAGTGGCAACACGCACTGGATGTACAGTTTCGTTTTCAAGTTTTGAGGTATACCTGACGAGAAGATGTGCCGTAGTTTCCTGAACGCTGCCCAACCGAGTTGAATCCGTCGATTGACCTCTCGGTCGAAGCTGGATTTACCTAGTCGGACTATTTGTCCCAGGTAAACATACTCGTCAACAACTTCGAGCTTAGTGCTCCCAACAATTACCGGGATAGGTGTGACATGGACATTAAACATGATCTTTGTTTTATCTATGTTTATCCTGTCCTGTATATGTAAACCTATCCGTTGGGAAACACTATTGAGGTCATTGAGCATAGTGCTTAGGTACTCCAGCGATTCTGCCATAAGGACTATATCGTCGGCAAATCGAAGCTGAGTGATGTACTCGCCATTGATGTTAATACCGTATCCTTTCCAGTCCAGAAGCTTGAAAACGTCTTCCAATGCAGCGGTGAAGTTTCGGGGATATGACGTCACCCTGTCTTACACCTCTCTGCAATTGGATAGGTTTCGTACTCTGGTTCTGTACTCGGATAGCCATCGTAGCCCTACTGTACAAGCACTCTAACACTTCGATATACCGACAGCCAACTTGGCACCACTGAAGGGACTGCAGCACCGCCCAAATTTTGACGGAATCAAAGGCTTTCTCATAGTCCACATACGCCAGACATAGTGGCAATTTTTTTTTTTTAAATACTAGTAATGCTATTAAACATTACTAATATTCCCTTTAACCACGTCTGGTAAGCTTAAAATGCTTGTGTTAGAAGTGGTTCACGACAGTAGTCGAACGGCGGATTCGAACCCACGACCTTTCGAGTTCGCGGTCCGCGCCCTGCCATTAGGCTACTGACGCTTAGTGGCAAATTATACTCCTCGGACTTCTGTACAATTTGCCGAAGGGTATGTATGTGGTCTATGGTACTTAAGCCCTTTCGGAAACCAGCTTGTTCAGGAAGCTGGAAGTCGTCAAGTCTGCACGCGAGACGGTTCGTAATGACTCTCGAAAACAGCACGTAGACGCGGCTCAGAAGGGAAATTGGTCTGTAGTTCTTCAAGAGAGCGTTGTCGCCTTTCTTGAAGAACAAGACCACCGCACTTCTATTCCACGCCTCCGGTGTAATGCCACCATGGATGACGGAATTAAAGAGCTTCTGAAGGACTTCAAGTACCGGTTTTCCACCCACTTTCAGAAGCTCTGCTGTAATTCCATCCTCGCCTGGGGCCTTGCCGTTTTTAAGGTGCTGGAGAGCCATTCTAATCTCGCTCAGACTGACGTCCGAAATAATTTCGGATAAGACTCGCTCTTGGACGTTACTCACACTTACGTGTGGCTTCAACGATGATGATCAAAATCTCAGGTGTCCCGGAAATGACGCTGCCACACTCAGTCTTCAGCTTCGACAGTTAGCTCTTTCTGGCAGAGAGATCTCTAGCAGTCTTTGGAGCCCTGGTTCCGCTCGATCGCTTCTCTAATACGAGCAGTATTAAAGTTGCGTAAGTCCTGCCGCATTCATTTGGAGATCTGTCTCTTCAGTTGCCTGTATGCTGTCAAATCTACTGAAGATTGCAACTTCATATCCCGTCTAACAGTCATGAGAATAAGAGTGTGATCGGAGAGTTTTTGTGTTCTTCTGCGGCGGGTCTTGCAAAACTTAGCTCTGACCGCATGGACAGTTTCCACGAGCTTGTCATTCATATCGTCCACATTGCAATCTTCTAGGCACTGAAAACGGTTTCGTAGCTCGAGCTGAAAGGTTTCGGGACTTTGGATTAGAGCACGAGGGGGACGGAGTGTTGACATCATGAGACTTGACCTCTTCAACTTAACGTTTAGGTTCAGTGTGCCTCTCACCATTCGGTGATCGCTGCCGGTTTTCACCCTCGCGATCACTGAGACATCACTGAACAGTTGTCGTCTGGTCGTCATAATGAAGTCAATCTCATTTTTGTCGAACCGTAGCGGCTCGACCAGGTCCACTTCCTGTGGGGCCGCTTCTGGAAGATAGAGTTCATCATAAAGAGTCCCTCTTTCTGCATGAAGTCGGCCAGCCGCTGGCCCCTTGGGTTCCGTTGCCCTATTCCGAATTTCCCTACTTTCAGCTCACCGTTCTCTCTTGTGCCTAGTTTTGCGTTGAAGTCTCCCATTAACACCGTATAGTGGGTTTTGGAAGAATGCATGGCTCTAAAGATACCCTCGGGGTGTGCCGAGGTTGGTGCGTAAATCTGTATGACCTTCAGCGAAGACCGTTTGGTGAATCTGAGTATAAGGTACGCAACCCTCGTCGACACACTCCCAATCTTTACAACGTTGTTAACGAGAGACTTGTGGACGATAAATCCGACACCTCCTTGGGACAGATGGGAGCCCTCCCGGTGATAGAACAAGTTGCCGGATTCGAGGATTACCGTGTCCTCCCCCTCTCTTTGGACTTCGGATAATCCTATGATATTCCAGCGCAACTTGTCTATCTCTTATTCCAGCTCCAGGATCTTCTCATCAGTCCTCAGGGTGCGTGCGTTATAAGTTACCAGGTCGAGTCATCGTAGGTGGCAACCGAACCTCGCCACCGTAGCTAGGAATAGCGGGGCCGCCAGGGACTAGGGGTTGTCTATTCGTTACTCTCATGGAGGGTATATTGCTATAGTTGCCACGCTTGACGAGCGGGTTGACAACCGCAGTTTGTCTTTTAATAAAAATAATAGATGATATTATTTCGCTTATATACACTAAATACACATACACACTATAAATACTTACGACACTTCACCGCTACTATTTTTCCACTTCCGTTCTCCAGGCGATAAAACTCTACCTAAAAAAAATATCAATGTTAAAGAAAAATAAATCGATAACAATTTATTTCATTCTAGAACCGTTAAAAACAATGATGAAGTAAAATGCTAATGATATTAAAATGGATCACTCCTAAAATTTGTTAGAGTAAAATTCTATTGTACAAGAAAAATACGCATTTATAATCATTACAACCCTTTACAAGTCCACTGCTGAACTTAAGCCTCCCCAAGGAATGCCACAGCATTGTCCTGAGCCACCTGCATTCATCGACCCGCTGCATCTCTTACACTTCGCTTACCGAAGTACTTTAATTTCTTACCAATTTGACCGCTAAGCAGTAACAATATGAGAACAAGTATAATTACAGTATAAGAGGAAGTCTTTCTTAAATAAAATTTATTAAATCTAGATTAATACTAACAAAAATAATATATATATATATATATAATAAATAAAATTGAAGTGTCTGTCTGTAATATTAAAATAACTGGCTTAATAGAAGCCACGTTCAGAAGGTTATTTGCATGCTATTAAAACATAAATAACATTTTTTTTCAATATTGTCCGTTCGGCTAATCCTCGGAATGTCTGAACTAGACTTGCAGCGAATAGTATTTTCGGCCACACGGCGAATACAAAATATTTTGCGGCCATCCTAGCCGAATAGCCGAATATTAGGCAAAAGTATTTGGCCGTGGAAGAAGTAGTGTTTATTATTCAGAGCGTCTATTCTCTGAAGCTTGTCTACGAGAAGAAAAGGAGTGAACTAATGCCTCAAAATGAATAAAAATTAGTCTTTCTGTACTATTATCTTCCAATTTAATTACTATAATTCAAGTGCATAGACATTTATGTGATAATTGTTTTTTAATTTTTATAACAAGGAAGTTGATTATGTACATATTGACTACTTTAATGATTACAAGAACATAAAATAATTATAAAATAAATAAATATTTTCTTTTTACCAATTCTCTCACTACAACAAAACCTCTTACTTAAGCATTCAGTATTCGACCGAATAGGATAAAAGTAGCCGAATAGGCCGAATACCGAAATTTAGCCGAATATTCGTTACAAGTCTAGTCTCAACCAATTGAGATGAAGCTTTACAAACCGATAAAAAAAATAAAAAAAATTGCTACAATAAATGATTATCATAAATGTAAGTAACGCAACATTATTAGATCCTATTCAAGCGAAGCCGGGGCGGGTCGCTAGTCAATAATATGATTAGTGTTGTATAAAGAATATAATAATCAATGTATTCTCCTCACCTCCAGTTGCGAAGGGCAGTTCGCCCTCACTGAGCGTGATGCAGTCGGCAGTAGACGTACAGGTCTCCGTGCACGTGCCCACACTCGCAATCTGCTCGCCGGGTGACAACACAACTCTCGGACTTTCTACCCAATTCACAAGAGAATAACACTCATCAATAATTATTACAGACTCTATACTCTACATATGAACGTAGCCATCCCCCAAGATTTTAAGGGGGAGGATGTTGCAACATTGCCACGATAGGCGTGCATGTTGGCAACCGTTGTTTTTTTATTATTTTGAGTGGTTATTCGGAAGATGGTGCTGCTCATCTCATATCCTGTTTCCCGGGATTACGTGATAGTGCTTCTGCAGGATTAGCTCCATTCAAAATTGCTATAGTATTTGCGTTATAGCCATGGTGCGGGTGACAGCTTACAGTTTAGCGTGTCTAGAGATGGAACAAATTTAAAAGTTAAATCGATTTAAAAAAAGGCGATTAACAATACACAAAGCAAAGCAAAAATTATCGATTAGCTATCGATAAAAAAATTATAACCGAAATATACATTTCTTTATAAATAAATTACAATGCATGTAAATTTTCGTTACAGTTTAATACAAACTAGGATTTTTTTTGAAATTATAGTTTAATTTAGCTATACTAACATGATAGAGCGTGAATAAAGCTAAGAAAACGTTGTGAAAAGATCAATTTTTCCTCGGGATCGATTTTCTTTCTGGCCCATCATCAAAGGTATCGTTAATGCTATCGTCTGTCTTCGTTTTCGGGAGCGTTTCACAAACACCCGATATGTATCTCGCCAACACATTACGCGTAAAATTTAAAATTATGATGTTAACTATTTAGTCCTGAGTTTGGTGAGAAAATATGAAATATCAAAGCTAAAATATTTAAAATGTAATAACAGCCACACTAGCAGTTTACCGATGTATTCATTGTGCTGCCATAATTATCGGGACGTAAAAAATTGGGACATTTGGCGTCCCGATGAAGGGTAAATCGGGACACCTGGCAACACTACTGTGTATAATCTATGCTAGCGGAGTTTTGGCGGGAAATTGACCGGCGGCGGTTTGCTGCTCCTGTATTATTGTTTAAATAATGGTTTGAAGTGGACTTTGATATGTAAAAGTGTTGCGATTTTGTGTATTAAGTGTCTACGCATGTGAACTATTAGTGGAAACAGTGAAACAAGTGCTCTGATGGTGATGGATTCTCAAGATAAGCTGTTTGTTTGCATAGGCACCTTTAGATACCATCGCCAACTATCAGCTGTCTGCTGGATCAAGTTGCCGCCAAAATCTCCCAAGAACTGCACAATGTGACGCATCAACATATTGTGAAGCAGTATACTATGAAGGAGTGGGAAAATTACAATAAACCGAATAAAAATACTTAAGACTTGGCCTAAAGGTCTAGATACCAGGCCATAAACTCCAAAAAAAAAATCTATGCTAGCGCCTACCGCTTTGTATGAATTACCTATCAGCCGTTTAATAATTTCCTGTTGAGCTTATGTTACTTTTACTTTCGATTGTTGAGTTAATTGTTGTTTTGTAAAGTAAAGTTTTGCTATTTTTTGAGTTTTGCTACGGGGGGGGGGGAGGGTTTGTCATAAGGCGTTTTCTCTATTTATTTGTTTATTGTCATGAATCTTAAGTTACTTAAATTTAGTATATATAAATGTGATGGTAATGCACTACACATGAAATAGAATTATTTTACTTTATATTTTAGCGATTATTTTCGCTTGACAGTTTTTACGTCAGATTATGGAGCACATCTCTAGTAATAAAAGGAAATTACCGCTAATTATAATTTTATCAGTATAAAAACTATATTAGGTGAGATTTTTTAAGTTAACGTTAACATAATAGTCATAACAGAATAGAAAAAATAATAAAAACAAATTCAGTGTTTTTTTCTCATAGTTAAAAATGTCGTAATGTAGCAAAGGCACGCAAGTTATGTTCTAGTGACCTGTCACAACCTGCACCAGGCTATAACGCAAAGACTATAATCAATAAATTATTATTTCAATTTACTACATTGGTAGTAGGGCTTCTTCCTTGTCTAGGAGTTCATCTGAATTGGTACCAACCTCAATTTTTCCACCAAACAGTCTTTTGTCTAAATGGTAAGATAACTAATATAATTACAGACAGTGAAGCATTACATCGTAAATTAATTCGATTTTTTCTGCCGACTTCCAAAAAGGAGACAGTACTCAATTCGACTGTTTTTTTTATGTGTGTTACCTCATAACTTTTTACTGGGTGAACCGATTTGGATGATTCTTTTTTTATTTGAAAGCTGGTACTTCTCGTCTGGTCCAGATTGAAGATTGAGAATTTGATCAAGATCAGACCAATATTTTATGAGTTACTATTAATAACTCATATTGAAGTCGGCTGTACAAAATTTTTAATTTTAAATTATTTTAAATTGTTTGTAATTGTACATAGGCTGCAGTACCTTCTTACCATTAAGTGGATGTGAAGTCAGTAAGACAAATATTATTAAAAAAAAACACAAAGCAACATTGTAATGAAGAAATAGCAGAAAGAAAGACGTAATACCATTTTGAATAATTTTAAAAACTAAGTCAAATCGCAATTCGAGAGGAATCTAAAGGTTACAACTGTGCTAACCTTACTGCACGTTCAAAATTCTGTTCCTATTTAAAAATGTTATAGCGATGCAAACCATATTATATAGCTAAATGACCCGAGATCCCAGTGGTGTAGTACTGGTGTTAAGTAGTAAGAGCTAGGTGTAATATGGTATAGACCGTGTTTGCGTCGATATGTCTATTAAATAAATGCAACAAGTGGTAAAATTAAAAATTTTGTACAACCGACTTCAATATAAATAAAAAAAATGAGAATGGCAATGATAACTCAAAAACTACTGGTACGATCTTGATCAAATTTATATGAGACCACATTAGCAGCACCAGCTCTCAAATAAAAAAGGATCATCAAAATCGGTTCACTTAGAGAAAAGTTCCGAGGTAACCACACATAACAAAAAATACAGTCGAATTGAGAACGTCTTCCTTTTTTTGAAGAAGAATTACGAACACACGCACAGAGGAATTTCAGATATAAAGACATTGAGTTATATGTACTACGTACTGGAGAAGCCATTCTAAACAAAAAATGTGCACTACTCTATGTCTTCGCGCATGTTTTAATGAGTTAGTAGAGTCGCGCATGCGTAGTTGATTTAAGCACGTTGCGCCTGCGCGGTCAGTTTTTAATTTAAACTTTAATTTGTAATCTTGTATTATTAGCGCCGATCCACACTGCATGTATATTGAAACAACAGACTAACTAGTAGATTGAAACCACACCAAATGACACTGTACGGATTGCAGTACAGTTCAGTTGAACATAGCGTATGTTCGGAATGCGAAATCTAGTACGTAGTACATATATATCGATGTGTAAAGATAAAGTTACACGGAAAAAAAGTCCCGCTGGGTTTCTTGCTGGTTCTTTCCAGGACAGAGGTTTTTTCCGAATCAGTGGTAAAGTGAAAAATTAATTTCATTAAGAATTATTTATGCTCTATTGATCCATCCATTACAGCCTAAAAAGGTCCACATAGGCCTCCCCCATAGATTGCACCATAGTGGGGCATCTCGCCATAGTTGTCACGCTAATCAGGCGGGTTGGCAACCGCAGTTTTTTTTATTATATTGAGTTGCTGTTAAGATGCTGAAGCCCATCACCTGTTTAAATTTCCCTCTGTCCTCTCTTCCGACACCCACAGCTCGATATGAGGTAGGAGATATTCTTACACCGCAACTACACGGTATAACCACGATTCCCACTAGATTCAAACAATCGCAGTGGTGGTAACTCTCACCGTCCACCTCGTCGGGCAGGTCAGTTAAGCCGGAGATCTCGCCGTCCGTGTCGTCCGCAGACTGGCGCACTGTGTACGTGCGCGCGCTACTGCTGCAAGAACACTCATCCGCTTGTTTATCCACACCTGTTTAAAAAAAACAATTTCAAAAGATACACTACAATATTTCAGCATTATATACTTTTTGAAATGAAAACTTCTCTCGTAATGATGATGATGGTGATTTGAAACTCGATGAAAGGAAAAAGCATCACTAAAAAGAGACAATCACATACATCTATAGGATTTCGCCTGCGAGAGAATGAGATAGATATTAAATTAGTCGTGTTTAGACCTTGAGAGTCAATCAACTTTTGTTCGATAAAATGACTTTACCTATAGAGTGAAGTAGATGGCGCAACAAACAATTTGAATCAAATAATACAAATCAATTTTACTCTATTGATTTATTTCACTAAAATTTTGTCCAAAAATAAGGATTGTAACATTTGTTTACAATAAAATTAAACTTTTATCTTAAATTTTATGCCACACTTGTGATTGAAAATTATAATATAAAATAAATCATTTGACACAGTCCACCTGATGGTAAGTGGATGCTGTGGCCTATAAATATCTGCATCTATTAATTAAGAATAAAAATGCACATGTGTTGTCACCCCTGAGGACTACGATAGAATGCCTCGTTTCAAGTAAAAATAATCCCCGGTTCTCTACACTCGAAATACAGCAACAGTAGACTACTATTTTACGCTAGTATCCTGTAAGAGCGTGTTAACTCCCCGGTCGAGCCGAACATTCGTGATACATGCATAGTCGCAGCATGGTTCTAACGTAAAACACACCTACATGTAAAACAATATCATTCAAAAGATACTCTACAATACTTCAGAATTACTATATATACTTCCTATGAAAATGCAATAAATTACAAATAACATAGATTACATCCCGCGGGTGATGTAAAAGGCAAAAGTGAAATTAAACAGAATATGGACATCGATGAATGCAGGTGGCTCAGGATGCTTTGTGGTATTCCTTGGGGAAAACCTGTGTCCAGCGGTGGACTTTGATATGCTGTAATTAATGACAAAAAGGTGTTATATTTATAGACTATATACTTTTTTATCTTTATTTAAAATTTTTACTAATCTACTACTAATCTCATCTATCCAAACATAAAAATTTAAGTTGTAAATTGCCATTATACAACAAAGGTAACAATATATTTAAAGATATTACTACCATTCATTACATTTATTTCTAATTCTTTTTTAACTAAACGTTAAAATACAAATATTATTTTTATTACATAATACATATACACTCATACCTAGAGGGGTAGACAGAGGCTACGGACTTCCATTTGGTACGATTCTGGCACACCTCTCTCGCCTCCTCCCTCCTCCACATTCATATACCTACGCATGCATGCTCGTCGGGTAAGGGTACCCTTAATTTGGTCCATTTTCAATATATCGCCAATTTGATCGATAAACTTTCGCAACAATATAAATTTGCTTTGCCACTCTTCCCTCATTAATTCTCTCTACATGACCAAACCACCAAAGCATTCCTTTCTTAATTCTGGTCACAACGTCATCTTGCAAATCACTTTCTTCTCTAATCACACAATTTCTCACCCTGTCATTCAGATTTAGCCCTAACATACTCCTTAATGACAGCATTTCTACAGTATTTATTCTTCGCTCGTGCTTCTTCTGCCACACCTAATTTTCACTACCATACATTAAAGCAGGGACTAACACAGCATTGTGAAATGACATACGTGCCTTTTTGGACACATTCTGACTTTTCACAAAAGCGTGTAGAGCCCCATTTACTCTATTTCCTGCGTTCACTCGTCGTTCTATATCCTTATCATATTTACCATCGCTGCTAAATATACATTTCAAATACACAAACTCATCTACTTGCTCGACCAACTCCCCTTCTATTCTTATTTCATACATCGTTTTACTTCCTTCTCTTTAAAAAATCATAACTTACGTCTTACTTGCGTTCACTTTCACTTCCCTTTCTTTTAAAGACCTGTTCATTAATGTAACCATCATTTGCAACTCGGCCGCCTACGACGCAAATATGACTTGATCATCGGCGTACAAAAGGCATTTGACGGTTAACTCACCCATTCTTAACCCGCATTCTTACACTTTCAAAGTTTCCAAACAACTGTCCATAAATGGGCTGAACAGCCACGGGGAAGCCACACAGCCCTGTCTGACACCTTCATGGATGCCAAAACAGTCCGCGTAGGCCCCATTGATCCTGACACAATCACTAGAGTCCATATAAAGAGACTAATATCTGAATCAACCCAGCGCTCAACCCAATTGAGTTCAGTGTTTGCCATAACACATTCCTGTCCACTCTGTCATAATCCTTGTCTAAGTCCACGAACGCAAAAAAAACCTTTGGCAAAAACTTCTTCGCGATCTAAATCTATATCATCAATCTAGATCGAATACTTGATCCGTAAACCCCATTCACTTTCTAAATCCCGCTTGCACATCCCAAATTTTTCCATCAGTTTCTTTCATCACTCTTTCAATTAGTACCTTAGCATAGTTTTCCCACAATGCTAAGAAGGCTGATACCACGGTAGTTTTTACAGTCCTGCTGCGTCACTTTTCCTTTATATATTGAGACTATCACGGCTTTGCACCAGTCTCCCGGTACCCGCTTCAGTTCCCAATATAAATTAAATAAGGTGTATAGCACGCCTGCCACTTCTCCCTCTCCAGTCCTTAGCATTTCGATCGATACTCTGTCATATCCGGCTACCTTACCTGCCTTCATACTTTTCATTGCTTTCATTATTTCATCTATACTTATCTCCCCATCTCTTTACTCTGCTTTTGGAATTTCAATTATTATTAATATAATTTCTATTACTGTATTATGGCGTAAGAAAATTAATTAGCCCATTTTGTCCGGTAGATGTCGTAAGAATATAACTATACGAAAAGCCGAAACGACTTTATGGCCACCAATATACGTCGATATATCATCATGTATATCACCCTATCATCACCGTTAGCAAAACACCCTGCAATATACCCATACCTCTGACGAGGAGAACTTTGTCGCTAACAATCCACCCACAAAGTATGGAGAATAAGACTATTTTTTTCTAGACTGAGTGAGGCCTATATTAATAGTTGACTTTTAATGGAGTGATAACGAACAAGAATCTAACCATCGTATTTGAAAATTTTTATAATCTTTAAATAACATAAATAAAAAAAAACATGTTGCAAAGATTAATAAATAAGTAAAAACGTATCATCTGTATATTATATTATATTATATTACATTAATTGTACCTATAATATTTGTGTACGTCACAAGGGTCTACTGCAAACTACTACATTTAAAAAACAACTTTTAAAAAGTACCACAAGGCAAATCTTGACTGTTCCTCTGTGTATTTTTTATAACGCAGGCGCAGTGTATGGACGTGCTGTTTTCGGAGGAGAGGAATAGGTAGCGACTTGTCTCGCTACACGCACAGTACACGCTCACGTCGGTACGTTGACACTGACATGTGCATCTCCCAACGGTGCATTCACATACATCTGAGATTTGAGATCATGATATGTTGCAAACTGTTAACATTCATTGCTATGCAAACGACAGCACTGGTGATGCTTTATACACCGGCCGTGCTAATATTACACGGAAAAACGTCGCTGAGTATCGGAACAAACTTCTGTCTGAAGTCTAGACTTTGTTGAACAAAGTGTCGGACTGGAGGCTATGTTTTTAACAAAATATCGATATTTCCATATTTTTTGCCCAAGTTTAATTCCGACCGCAGCCCTACCAGCGACCGGGGCGGTTTGTGGGTAGCCGCATCGCAGTGCACATAGGAATAGACGTTACGCACATATTTTTGCTTTACGGCTAAGTCTTTTGACACTCGCTTATCTATAATATAAAAATGAATCGCTGAATGTGATGCTAAGCGCAAATCTCGAGCAGCTGAATCGATTTCGCTAATTCTTTTTTTTACAAAATTCCTTGAAGTACGAAGATGGTTCTTACGGAGAGAAAATTTAAAAAAATTGCCTGAAAAAGTCTAAAAACAATACTTTTCTATAATCCCATACAAAAGATTTGTGATAATACTTAAAAATCAATTTGAACTTTAATACCATACCATAAAGCTTAAGTCTTAGTGGAGGAGTTCCGGAAAGGCAAAACAATTGAGTAACGTTAGTATCGTATAAATATTATATCGTATCGTATCGTATAAATATTTGTCAATATTTATACGATAGTAACATTGCGGTACGAAGTTCGCCGGGTCAATTAGTTATATAATATAATCATTATCATCATCAACATTATAGCCCTTCACAAGTCCAATGTTAAACATAGGCCTCCCCCAAGAATGGATTGTCACGCATTAAATGTTTCATTTATAGTAAATAAAAAACAAAACTCACCCAACTGTTTAATTTCCTGTGCTTTGACGTTAGCAGACTGCCTAGTATTTAAATCTGTCTTCTTTTTAGACTGACTTTGCTTTTTCACGTTGCGCACTGGTTCTTTTTTACGCGTGACTTTACCCTTCCCTTTACCGTTCTGGAGATTTTTTTCTGTGCCAATCCTATCTCCTTTTGGAACTTTGACATCGTTTTTATCTGTTTAATAATACGTAATACGTCAACGACAAATGTATGCAACAAAATAGAGCGCAAAGATAAAAATAAAAAAAACGCATTTTTGTACGTGGTATGTACTTGGTAGTCACGTGGTAGCTGTATTATGGCTGCAGTGGTAGACTCGACCTGGGTCGAGCTCACAGAATCTATCCATTCATTACAGCTTATAAAAGTCCACTGCTGAACATTGGCCTCCCCTTTAGATTGCCTCACAAGGGCGATACTTGGTCATAGTTGTCACGCTTAGCAGGCAGGTTGGCAACAGCATTTTTTTATTTTCTAATTGTTATAAGGACGCTGCTGCCAGTCTCCTGTTTCTATTTCTTTTCCTCTGTCGCACTTACGACACCCACGGGACAATATATTATCGTTACTCTTACAGTATATCAAAAGTCTACTGGTCATAACCATAAATTGCTTTATAGGGGGGGTGGGGGCGATATTTGCCATAACTGTCACGCTTGGTGGGCGGGTTGGCCACCGCAGTTTCATTACTTTTTGTTGCCATTAAGCTTTTATATTATTTTGTGTTTATATCATGAAGATGCTGCTACCAACCACCTGATTCAATTTCCCTTCGTTCAGGAGACGATATGGGGTAGTGGATATTCTTACACCACCATTACACGGTAAAATTAAATATTACAGAATATTATTTAAAATATACGTACGCTGTACATTATACGTCAATCCGACCGCAGAAGGACTTTTTGGTAATTTCACATTCCTCGAAGTTCTTTCTTTACGCAATTTAGGTTCAATATAATCAAAACTTGTATTGTTATGTGGAATATATTTCGTAGCGGCCTTCGCTTCTTTACTATAAACATTAAATTCCGACTTAGGTACATTAAGTCTAAATTCTTTTCTATTTTGATCAACAGACTCCCTGTTAAACTTCTGTTTCAATTTTTCTTTGTCTCTGCTGCCTTTTGTATCTGAATGACGGTCTTTTACATTTCCAGTTCCCCTTTCAGCTATTTTAGGAATTTCAGGTTTATAGTTTAGATCATCTGTTGCATCGTCTTTGACAATTTGATCACTTTGATCTGTTACGTCATTCTTGTTAGGTTTCTTAACACTTTCATTGTCATTCAGTGAGGATTCAATATCGACAAAATTGGCAGCAGAATACCCCATGATGGTGTGCAGTGTGTTTTGTTGCTCGTCTGTATCCACATTGCCTTTCTGCGTTTCATCGGGGATAAAATCTTCGTAAGAAATATTGTTCCTATGAATTCTTGTTGGATGTCTGTAAGCGGTAAATTTGTAATAAAATATGTTCCTTTGAACACAGTGAATTGAAACATTAAAAACCCCAAGTATGACTAAAACACGTTTAAGAGGATATCCAGGCTGCAAGATTTTTAAAGTGTATGCTTTTAACGAACTACTGCTGTCGCCGAGAGAGACAACTGCAGCTCGAACTGATTATACCTAACAAATATTTACAACATCGTCATTCCGTTTATTTCCCCCCTCAAAACTTAGCCGATTTTGATTTAACTTAACAGTTTTAGGAATTAAAATGTAAAATATTTGCTTTATTGTCCATTATCATCGTCTCATATCCAGGGAGAAAACAGAGAGATACGTTTGTATGAACTAATCGCCGTTCAGATATGCAACTTAAATCTTTATGTAGTAAGCAATTTTCTTAGTAGTAGGGCTTCTAAGCTAGTGTTTTTTTCTTGATAATAGGGCTCCTAAACTACCTAGAATTCGTTTATTTCTATCCCCAAGCAGCATTGCGCACTAGTACTGTGTTCCGGTTTGAAGGACTAGACATCTAACCAGTATAATTACAGGCGATGAGGCAATTCATTTTGTTATCTACATCTATAGAATTTTCATCTGCAGTAGGCACTTATCATCTTCAAGACAATTTACCGAGAGGGCAGATTTACACACAGGTACGCCAAAGTTAATTACAAAGTAAATTAAAAAAATATAAACTTACTGTTCTAAACTTTTCGAAATCCCTGTACTATTCGCAGGTAAGTTTAGGCAGGATTTCTGCAATGTTTCGGATATAGGCACTCTATCGTTGAAACTGTTCTGTTCTCTAACTTGCTGAATATTTACATCTGAGTTTTTGATTTCTATGCTTCCCGATTTTAAGTTATCGATCTACGGAAAAAAATTAATAGAAAATTATGTTACCTAAAGCACAGAATAAATAATAGTATTACGTACAGAAATTGCACTTCTTTGATATTGACAGTTAATTGCCGAAGTTTTAATAGCGTACATAATTTTAAAAAACTTTACTAAATTAAACTTTATCGCTACGGGCAAGTGTCCGTATGGCTGTGCATCTTTTTCCCTTCATACGTCACGGGCGATATTCGGTGGTTACGTAGGGCTTTCAATAAAGAGTAAATAATAATAATTAATGATTGTAATCAATCTAAATATTGTTTTACCACAATAGCAAAATATACATAATCATTTAAAAATGACACTGTTTTCGGGTGAAATTAATATCAATACACTAAGTTGAAATTATGTAAAATACTTAGTAATAGCACAGTATATTAAACATACAGTAGGACGACGCCTATGATCTCGTGGTAAATGCCGACAACGTCTAGACAGCGTATGGAGGTTAGGGTTATCACAAATTAACAACTTTTACTAATTTAATTATTTATTTTAGATCTACCTCATTATCAACAGTATGATTACTAATATAAAGAATAAGTAACAATTTGTTCTTACATTTTTCCTGAAAGTACTCAAAACGTTAATTGCACGCCTCACAACGTGAGGGAGTTCTCTACTCTCGATAAGTGGCCATACCTCAATATCACTACATAAAATCGTTCTTATACTCTTAGCTAGACATCAAATCTAAAATCAGAAATTAACGTTACAATGACTACAGACATTGAATTATTAGTTTATTTTCTAATTGATTCTTTAGGCTTTCGAAAGTTCTTCCAACTAAATCAGGTATGTTCATAATTATCACCCCCAGAAACCTCAAAATCGACATCCATATTGTCTTATTTTAAAAAAATCCACCATCTTGGATATGAAAATTGATGCCGTTTTCGTAATTGGCACCCCAAGAAACCTCAAATTTGACATCCATAACATTAAAAAAAATTATGTGCACCATCTTGGATTTAAAAATTAATTCCATTTTCGTAATCAGCACCCCAAGAAACCTCGAAATTGATACCCATATCATATTATTAAAAAAATGTCCGCCATCTTGAATACAAAAATGGATGCCATTTTCGTAATTAGCACCCCGAGAAACCTACAAATTGACCCCTAAATCTTAATATTTTATAAAAAACTTCGAAAGACCGAAGACGAGGCACTATAGTATAGTCTAAAACCTTAGCCTGTCCAACCACACGATTTAGATGAAGAAAAAAATTAAACTTCGAAACAGTAATGCCCAGCGACTAGTACCTATTTTTACGTCCGCCATTTTTTACGTTGGTAATTTGGCATGACATGACAAAATATACATAATATAAAAAATAATAACAATATTTATTTACCTTTCTTCCGTGCGCAGGAATTGGTGAACTCACAGATCTTTATTTACGCGAGATGACGACTTGCAATCTCTCACAGCACACGTCGTATGAACCATTTCAATTATAAGTATCAACACTAAATTTAAATATAATAAAAGCAAACGCGCGTTAGCCCTAGAAGGCGTGTCCCGAGCTACTAATACGATTGGCATGAGCAGCTCGGGCTCGTCCTTCCCGCGTCTCACCCCTCGCACCCCGCACAATTTCACTGTCTAGACGTCGTCGTCGGACGACTGTATGGATTTATAGACTGTGGTAATAGTAATATTATTAATGCCCGACAACGCAGTAAAAATAATATAGATTTCTCTTTTCTTTTCCTTCACTTTTATAAAGATAAATGGCAAAGTAGCCGTCACATCGTGGCATCACTAGTATGGTAACTTTGCCAAGTTAGTTCTAAGATAAATGTTAAGACCAACCTCTTAAAAGCGATATAGTACAGTTGATATCCATTAATATTACGTTACTACAAATATAATAGATACCTACATTCAGTATTTCAAATAAAATCAACAAAAGTTCTAGAGCACTGAACAAAGAGGTTATTTCGCAGGCAAAATTCCGCGTTAAAATAAAATGCCAAAATTAACTCGATATGATGAGAGTCGATATATGATATCGAAAGAATTCTGTCAATTAGTTTTTGTATTTTCATCCAAAAAATGACATGTCTCGTAAAACGTTACGTTTTCCGTGTTAATCGTAATTTTGTACCAGTACAACAGTTCCATTGGTAAAGTTGCCAGACTTGACTGTACTTAATTTTGTCGTTAAAAGTACTGAAGTTTATCAATGGGTTGTAAATATACTGTTTATATCTAATCTATATATAGTTTATATCCGAGCTCTATTTTTATAATAATAATTATAAACAAGATACAAACCCCCGCTAACGGCAAATCCTTCATCATATTACTTGAATCGTTAACACTTTTAAGTAATGAAACTTGATCCTCCTCCATTACAAGGTCGTGACGGTCAAAATTCGGTATCTTTCTCTCAGTATCCTTTTCAGTCGTCTTAAGGAAGTAAAAATTAGCATTTTAGTAAATATTTAAATTACTTGTTCCCTTTATTCAATTTAACATTTACAATCATACTTACTGCTTGAAGTTTTATAGCGTTTATTTGTGATTGAAGATCTAATATTTTCTCCCTCAATTCATTGTTGGTGTCTTTATCGGGGCTCTGGTAAATAAGAAATAGTAGCAGGTAAATAAGCGATAATTATCATCAGTTTCAGGACCTTGTGCAAATAAAATTCAGTTTAATTTACATTTCAATGCCCGTTGCATGGTTTGACAGGATCGTAGGAATTTTAACAGTGGTAGAGCCACGCGGCAGCTTTTGCTGTCGCACGGATGGGCCGGCTCGAACCGGGGTGGTACCACTACCTCACAGAATACCAGCGTGAAGTAGAGGTTTACCTCCGCGTTTCGCTTGGTGAGTGCAGGTGGCCGGTGGCCCTTTTTACTGGAAATGAGGCATTCCATCTTAGTCCTCACGGGTGACAACGCATCTGAATTTTGATTTGTATTAGAGGATAGATGTAGAGGTCTACGGACCGCAGCAACCACTTACCATCAGGTGGACTGTGTGCTCGTATGTCACCCTTATTCTATAAAAAAAAAACGACAAAAAAATTACCCAAAAAATCTTGTACTCTGATACATGGCTCCATAAACTATATAATATAGATATACCAAATACTGATGGAAGTTTAAGGCTCTTCCTATATTTTTAAGAATCGAGCCAGCCCATTCAATAAGACAACCTGAAACCACTTTTCTATCGATTTTCAATATTTTTGTACCACAATGTGAACCCGACATCGTTAGTTTTTGTTTCATTGTTAAAAAAACTGTCCTAACCCTTTTTACCTTTTTTTTTCTCATTAGGTTTTAGGTGTTTTAGAACACGTGCAAGTCGAGATTACAAAATGTAGATGAGATAAATCCCGTCAAGTGATACTCTTATGTTTAAAAAGTCATCAAGTTTAAAGCTGATATAAATTATTTTTCGCACATAATATTTGGTCTTTCGAGCCGGATAAAAACTAGATTAAATACAATACTCGAATAAATATAATAATACTAAAAAATCGTTATCCTGTTTTTAGATAATTATATCTTATAAGTTATTAATATTTAATTATTAAAAGATTAATTCCATACATTACATATACGTATATCACGTCACCTTTCTATCATCAGGCATAATTGCGTCCACGTATCCCGAGTCATCGGAGCTCTTAGGCCGCTTTTGCGAAGTTTTCGTATCCTCTTGCTCCGCTAAATTGGTGGTTGAATGCCTTTCCCTTTCGAGCTAGAAATTATAAGTTATGTTAAAACAATAGCCTAATACAATGAGAATGACGTGTTGCTAAATGCGAACATTCACAACTCAACTTAATCCGACTCCTCCCAAGATTCATTTACATCACTGCATCTTTGTGTGACTGTATTGTTTTGAAGTGAGCAAGTCTATTTTGCATTACTTAGTTCAGTATTATTATTGTATTTTGCATTACTTAGTTCAGTATATATACAGCAGTATTAGCACTGTTAGTGTCACAAGGGACTTCCATAAGAGACAGGACTGTATACAACGCAATGTATTCCCTACTCAGCTGGTAGCTCCCTACTATTTATAAGTTGTCACCTTGGTTGAAAATCGGACATCACTTACTTGACGTAAAGCGATCATATTACTTCTATACTATTATCTCCAGTTTCGGTTTCCCTCTACATCTAGTCTTTAAAAGACTAAGTTTCCTTTGCTTAAAATGAAAGACAAAGTCGCATAGCCACGTATTGGCGGTGTAAGAGAATCTTCTACTCCAAGTCATGACGTGGTTGTCATAAGAAGTGATAGAAGGAAAATGAAATAGGAGATGAGCAGCAGCGCCTTCCTGATAACAACTGCATCTATAAAAAAAACTATGGTTAACAACACGCCTGTCAAGCGTGAAAACTAAGGTATCATAGATTTACTTCTGAACATAGATCATGTTCAGCAGTCGTTAATATTTCATCTAAGGATAGTATCATGGTATATATGGGGAATAGTATCAACTTACCGTCAGGTGGACTGTGTGCTTGTTTGTTGCCCTTTTTCTATAAGAAAAGGACCGAAATGGTAAAAATAAAAAAAATCAATTTTTCACTTTCTGGATTGCATAATTATAATTACAAGATTGATGTTAACATGAGCTTACGTTGGTAAGTTTGAGATGTTGCTCGATTGTCTTGGCGATTTGCGTGGAAATGTCAGAAGCTCTCAGCCGCGTCTCCAGCTCGAATACCTTGCCCTTCTCTATAGATAGCTGAAGGCTAATATCGTCTAAAAACAAAGAATAGAAAAAAAGTATTTTCATCAATATAATACAGTCATAGTAATATTTCATAACTACTATTATTAGTAATAGCATATCTGTAATAAATATTAATAGTGAGTTAACTCCTTTGTTATACCGCAAAATACCTACAAGGCTGTCTCGACGTCTAGTCGCTAAAAATATACAAGGGTTGTCACAAAAACATTTCCTTATATAATATCATATCATTATATTTTATCTGTATTCCTCGTAACAATTTATTATTCTATTCAAAAATACAAACTAATTACTACTTTACAAAAATTGTTGCGCCTCGCAGCTTCACCTGATTCATAGTGATGGAAACAAAGGCTGTTGCTGGTAGGTAGGTACCTACCAAATTTTACTATATTTTACTTAAATTATCTTGTTTGAGTAATCATAAATAAAAAATAATAACATAATAACTTTTATTGGACACTATTAGTAATTAATTGAAAAAAAAAAGGGTTAAACCTTAAACATTCAATTTAAAAAATGAGCAGACTTCGTCTAAGACAAGTTTAGCTTAATATGTTCTAAATGGTTTAAGATATCATCCCCTTCAGGCTTTGCATCCATCTTCCAAACAACCTGTATAACAGTGTCTCAGGTGTCCCGCTTAAAATATTAGATAGGGGGTGGAACAGAATAAATAAAACAGTTTTTAAATAAAACTAATTTTACGGATTTTATCGCGTATATTAATCTATTTTTTATATTCCCGACGTTTCGGGTGATTTCCAGCACACGTGGTCACGGGGGACTGAGGTGTTTGACGTCCTGCTGTCTTAGTTAGCCCGGCTACCTTCAGTTTTTTAATATTAATTTTTGGTCCGATTTACGCAGAATGAGCTTACAGTATCTTGAAGTCTAGCAGTGGTATACTTGGGTTTGGATTTGATTTTATTAATTATGGGATCCCAAGCAGATGGCAGCACCCATCCATCTTCTCTATTGAAATTAGGATGTTTTTTAATTTCAATAGCCTCGCGAATCATCCTTGGGAGGAATCGGTGTTCTTTTGCGAGGATTTAACTTCAACTATCAAATCTAATGTAATGGCGGGGACGATCTTGAACATGTTCACAAACTGCAGACTTCCCGATACGTCGGTGCTTCACGTCAGCTATATGTTCTTTAACGCGGGTTTTAATAGATCTTTTTGTTTGTCCTATGTACGAGAGACCACATTCACAATCCAGCTTGTACACTCCTGCATCTTGTAGAGGGATATGACACTTGACGGATTGTAAAAATTGACCAATCTTCTTCAGCGGCTTGAAGTATGTTTTAATGGAAGCTCGCTTCAAGATGTAGCCAACCTTGTCTGTGACTCCTCTGACATAGGGTAGTACAGCAGGCACACGCTCGACTGTGGCTGGCTTCACTCGGTCACTGTGACGTAGGCGCGGGACCCGAAGCTTGTTGTCTTGCAGTACTTGCTCGACGTGCTGAAGCTCGGCGGCCAGTTTTAAAAATGTGTAGTGTTCGCGTAAATATAAGAAATTATTAAATAAAACAGGTTAAAATTATACGTTGGTTCTGTTTATGCAACGCACGCCGCGCTGCCTCATTACAAATGTGCAACCGAAAATTTAATATTTACGACATTTATTATTGGGTTTTTTGTCTGTTGTTGAATTTAATGATGTTATGAATTCTCATCCTTACATATATTTCAATTAAAAATCGTGATGGAAAGCAATCACATGGTTGTAAGAATTAAATTTTACTTAAGACGTCGCATACAATCTTTTCCCAATATTTGCATATGTAAAGTAAAGAAATATACCGTAAGTTAATAAAATAATAAAAATAATACAGATTAAATTAGTGTTGTTGGGTGAACATCAAACGCGTGCAGCGGATTTCGTATACGCGACACTCCTAGACGGGCGTACCGGTACGCAAGCGAAGCCGACCGGTACTACCGTAGACGTCGCGGGCAGGGGTGGGATGCAGCTGCCCATCATACTGCGCCCTCATCGTTGATTCGTCTAGTCGCCGAGTTCACTCACTATTAGTATTTATTACACATATGGTAATAGATAGGAATTATTTTCTGCCTGGGAGTTCATTTGGGTAGGTACCACCCAATCACCTATCTCTGCAACCAAACACTAGTGCTTGCTTACGGTCTGAAGGGTATAGTGAGTCAGTATAAATTTCAGGCCGTGAGACATTCCATCTTAGTGCTCATAAGTGAAAACGCATCTGTAGACTTTTTTGTTTGAAGTTGGCTGCATGGGCTACAGTAGCCACTTACCATCAGGTGGACTGTTAATAGGTTTGCCACTTCAGTTCTATAAAAAAATACAATGAACTAATATTCTCACTAGAATCATCACAGTTCATGATCAATGCATTTGGAGTTTAATTTTATTATAACTGGTAATGAGGTTTTCCGCCTTAGCCCTCAGGCGTGGCAACATACTTGCAATTTGATACAACAAATTTGTTACCCTTACCTATGTGAAATTAATTATATTTATTAACATATGACAGGTCATCAACGGAGGCAATGTTTAGTAATCATAAAGAGCTTACCACACCGCGCCTCTGCGGCACGTAATCTTTGTAGAAGCTGCTCATTTTGCAGCTCACTTTGCTGCAGGGTGAGACGCTCTAAGTCACTGCTCTGACGCAATGTGAGCACTTCTTCCTCCAATCGGCTAATACGCATTATGTATTCTTCATGTGTTTTGGACAACTCCTGAGGAAATAACATTCATAATTCATTTTTTACAGCCTTTCATAAGTCAACTTCTGAACCCTAAGACCCCATAGACTGCCTTATCTGGGGAATGATTGCCACGTTGCACTCACTAGAGGTTGGCGACCGCAGTTTTTTTATTATTTTGAGTTATTATTAGGAAGATGTTGCTTCCGATCGCGTGGCTTCTCATACGCTGCTAAGGAAAAAAACGTTATTATCGTTTATTATATTTTTCGTTATTTATCGACGTTTTATCATTTAGCCGCTGCACTGCGGGGCCGCAGATTCAAATCCCACAAGGATAAGTGTTTGTACGGTCTACAAATAACTGTTTGGATACGGATGTTTGTCCATGTGCAATTTATGTATGTCATAAAAGTAAAACAAGTAAACTCGTAATAAATGGCTATCTGTGTAAACTTCCCTTTAATTCCTTCATGGTACAATGTATACACTTGTACAACAAAGTCCCAGAAAATGTGCAGACCTCATCTATTAAAAAGGTTTAATGTATTTATTAAGCAATAATTGTTTAGTAAGGGTTATTACCCTACTAAAGAATACACGATTGATAATAACGCCGCCATGCTGTTTCTAAATGTTTTTATAGAAATTGTATAAAATATTATGTAAATTATACTTAAAAAAACCCCGCTAGGTTTCTTGCTGGTTTTTCCCAAGACAGAGGTTTTTTCCGAACAAGTGATAAACGTAAAAAATTACTTTCTAAAAAAATTACTTAAGAATTACTAAAAGTTATTCTATTCTAGTTTTTTTTAATGTATGACAGTTATAAAAAAAAACTGATATTATGTAAAATCCTTCCGCGAAAAACTATAAAAATAATATTTTGGCGATAAAAATTTCTTTATATCTGAATGCAAAACATAGCACCTTCGTATGATTATTTTACCAATACTGAGCTCTACGTACCTTTATATTTTTAGTTCACATGACACAAAGTGTCGCCATCTAGTGTCGAATATATTTAATTATATTTGAAAGCCGACGCAGAGATTTTTCTAGAACTATTTTAATAAATTAGGTGTAAAATTACTTACAAATGAAATGTGTTGGCATCCATAGCATCAGAGCGTCTATCTGAGTAGTTTTTACACGATAAAACATAACACTTCATCCTTTTCTTCTTAATACTACGAAAATACACCGATTTGCGATTTCCAACACATAAGCGGACGAATGCTGACAGTATACTAACTAAAGCCACGCCCACTATAATGACGTCAGGACCTACTTAGAATCACAGTGCACAGTTGCTTATGCCGTCTCCTCTTTCTATTTGCTTCATGGTAAGAACCATCTCCCGTACCTGGACATCATTGCCAAAAAATATTGTTCGCGCCAAACGCTAATTTTAAGAATTGACGCCAGAGGGTGCTCGGCGCGGTGCATTCGTACCGTTTTGACGTTCGCGCGAGCATAGTTGTTTTTGGGTGTTGCACGTCGGAAGTTAACAATGCAGCGCAGTCACTAGAACGGCGTGGTCGCGTACCGTATAACCTCTAAATAGTGTCGGTTTTTGTTAGCAAATTTATGCAAAGACGAGGAGTTTTGTTGAGTCTAGAAAAATAGATCGTTTTCGCGGACGCCGGTTCTTCGCTAAACTCGTGAGGTCCCTTTAAGATCGCTTCTATTTTGAGTTATCATTTTAGTGCGTTTACGCGATAACGGGGTCGTCTAAGTGTTGAGTGATTAAAATAACTTACCTTTGTTTGCAAGTAATTTACGTCAATTTGTATAGTGATGGTATTTTGAAGCGCATTTGCAATATCTAATTTGCTTGAGTGGCCTTTTAATATCGTACGAAAGAATCTTAGTTTGCTGTGTGGAACGCGGAACTTTGTGACCCAAGAGAAGGTCGCGTTCGGTTTCTAAAAATAATTGGTTGCTAAGTGAAAACGGAAGTTGAACTTTGATCAACCATTCATTAGTTGTGCCGTGTGTCACGTGTTTGATTACGATTAACGGGGATTTAGTTGAGTTTGAAGTGAATTAAATGTACAATAAAGTTGATAGACTGAAATAGTGTACAATAAAGTTGATAAACTGAAATAGTGAGTTGAAGTCGGCAGTTTTCAATTGGTGACGTCCGCTGGAGTGATACCACATCGTGGGGCAGCATCGGACCAGGCCGCTGCCGGATCACCTCGGTTAAGTGAGGTCACACATGTACACACTACTACACACAAACTTACATGCACCTACCTACCGCCTGACCGAGCCTTGTGGTCAGTCTTAGCTTCGGAACCAGGTACGTACTATTTATCTACCTAACCTTAGATACTACATATCCATTGGCCATTTGGGCCCCGTCCTCGGTTGTCCGTCGAGGAGGCTACTATGGGCCCTAGCCCAATCGACCTTTGCTGGGGCAACTCAGGGCGTGAACAAATAAATAAATACATTTTGTACGCATTTGGTCGTATATATAGTCATAAGTACTCTGAGCCTCGTTGGTTTAGTGATCATAAGCGCGACAGCTGATCCTGTGGTCCTGGATTCGACTACCAGGTTGGGCCATAATCAGTTATTGGGTTTTTTCGTTAAGTAATTCTCAGCATCCCGGAGTCAGGTAGTTGGCTCGTGCCTCGACAAACACAATCCCGTTGGTCCTGCGCGTGTTCTCTCTTTACGATCATGTCATACCACCCCATCAGACTATAAGAGTTCGGGAATAGAGTGCACCTATGCTTGCGTATACACTCGGGCACTATATAATCCTGTCCTGCGCAAATGGATAGTCTTCGTTCTAGCTGCCGTGGCCGTATTTCGTTTTGGAGCACATTATTTGTTAATTACTATAAACTTACCTCTTCCAGCGTAACAATTTTTTGCTTCAACTCCTCCATAAGAGTTCTGCATTTATTTTCGTCACACAGTTTCTCTTCATTGTCACTACAAGAACATAATTTGAAAAAAAAAACTTTTCTCTTTCTTATAACAGTTGTCAATCAAGTATCAAAATGCCTATGTGTTATCACTCCTGACGACCAAGATGGAATGGTTCATTACCTGTATAAAGGGTCACCGGTTCCTGTCACTTCACGCTGTTATTCTATACCAGCGTAAGCCTCTCCAGGTCAAGCCGAACCATTAGTACTGCAGCCATACGCTGTAGCGTAACTCTATCCTTTTTAAAAGGCCAACAACACACCTGCAATCTTGTGCTGCGGATGTTCATAGGCGACAGTAATCACCATCAGTTGAGCTACATACTCGTTTCCAACCTTGTAAAATTTATAAATATAAATAAAATTGAAGTGTCTGTCTGTAGTATCGAAATAACTGAATTATATTGAGCTGATATTTGCATGAATAACCATTTTTTAAATTTTGGAAATGGCAAAACTGATTGTCATGAAATTGATCTAAGCTGATTTAAGTATTTTATGCTAAAAACTTGGAGATTCTTTTTAGAAAAAAAAATCCATTAATTAATAAAATAAAATAAATGGTCTTTGATTATTTTAAATCTAAATAACGTGTAATTTTTTACATGGTAGAGCTATGCTGCAGCTATATTAATAGTATAGTTGTAGCACGAATGAGTCGGCTCGACCGGGGAAGGACCACGCTCTCACTGAATACCAGCGTAAAAAAGCAACTTAATGCTGCCGTGTTTCGTATGGTGAGTGTAGAGAATCGGAGACATATTTTACTTGAAAAGAGGCATTCTATCTTAGTCCTCACGGCTGACAACGCATCTGCATTTTAATTCGCAAACGAAGATAGAAGTCTATGGGCCACAGCAACCACTTACAATCAGGTGGAATTGTGTACTCGTTCGTCACCATAATTCTATAAAAAAAAAAAACAGATACTATCAGGCGAAGCCACGGCGGTACTCTATTAAACTTTCATACATACACACGAATTTTATAGTGTTTAATTTTTAACGCAATGTAATGCCTTAAACTCTATAGTTCCCTAGTTTAGCTTATTTTTGAGCTATCCATTTATTATTATTTATATTTAAGTTATTCGGACAGCAGCCATAATAGGCTGCAACATAGACTAACAATATTATGGTGTTAAAAAAGTTTATTTTTATATATGTTCACGGACTAGTCGAAGACACCTGAAACAATTTAAAAAAAAATTGTTTCAAAGGCTAGTTGCTGGTTGCAAATTATTTTCAAGAAACATCAAAAAAGGAGGAGGTTTTCAATTCATCGGAATCTTTTATTTTAATATATGTTCACCGATTAGTCGAAGACACCTGAACCAATTTAATTTTTTTTTGTTTCAAAGGCTACTTCCCAAATGGTCCCATTTATATTTTATTGAAATCAATCGAGTGGTCTTAAAAAAATCAACAATAAATTATATTCATATTGAAGTCGGTTGTACAAAATTAATTTAAATTTATTTATACAACAATTTTAATTAAATTTACCACTTGTAGAGCCATGTATACGTGGTAGAGCCATGCTGCAGCTACGTTAGTATAATATATAATAGAAATTGGGACTAAAAGGCCGCTGGTCATTTACAATAAATTATTCCATAAAATAAAAATTCTCCGTAATATGTTCTCTTCTCTCTCATACCTTTTGCCAGTAACAGGTGACTTAGATGTGCCAGAAAGATTTCATAGCCACCGATAGATGGCGGTAGATCCATCGACTTGCCGTATGTACACTATCCCGAATACGGTGAGTCACGTAGTATTACGAACGTACGTACATTTCAAGTGACGCAAAAACCAAATCAGAACCATGCGTAACTTATTATAAGAAAACACACTCACCTGCACATTTTTTTTATAGCATAAGGGTGACAAACGAGCACACAGTCCACCTGATGGTAAGTGGTTGCTGTGGCCCATAGACATCTACATCTATCTTGTATCTTCGTTTGTGAATTAAAATGTCGATGCGTTGTCACCCGTGAGGACTAAGATAGAATGCCTCTTTTCCAGTACAATAGGTATCCGGTTCTCTACACTCACCATACGAAACGCAGCAGCATTAATCTGCTATTTTACACTGGTATTCTGTGAGAGCGTAGTCCTTCCCCTGTCGGGTTGACCCATTCGTGCTACAACTATACTATCAATGTAGCTGCAGCATAGCTTTACCACGTAAAAAAATTATATTAATAAGGTTTGCAAAATAACTAACATCGCAAAGATGTAAAACAAACTTACTTATCCCGATAACTAGTTTGTACCTCGGTCGTACGTGTCATTGTTGGTTCTCTGAAAAATTGTGGAAACATACAAAACTAATTTTACCGATTTTACCGCGTTTACTTATTTTTACATTCCGAAGTTTAGAGAATCATTCATCAATCGTTAAACATCTTCGTGCGTCCGGTACGGAGATGTTTAGCATTCTTATGTCATAGTAAACCCGGGCTATCTTTGGCCAATCAACAAATAATTAACTTACAGTATCTTGAAGTCCTGTATCCACTACCCCATATCTTCCTGTGGGTGTCGTACGAGGCGACAAAGGTAAACTGAAACAGGAGATGGGCAGCAGCATCTCTGTTTCTAAATGTTTCCGTACTTAATTGTATACAATATAATCATCATCATCATCATCACAGCCCTTCACAAGTCCACTGCTGAACATACGCCTCCCCTAAGGAATGCCACAAAGTACGGTCCTGAGCCACCTGCATACATTGACTTCCTGCATATCTTACTAGATCGTCACTCCATCTAGCGGGGGGACGCCCTACACTTCGCCTGCCCGTACGAGGCTGCCACTTGAGAACCTTTCTTCCCCATCGGTTATTAAAATATTATACTATAAATTAATGTTTTAAAAAAGTTCCGCTGGGTTTCTTGCTGGTGCACCCCAGGACTGACTTTTTTCCAAACAAGTTGTAAATCTTAAATGACTTTCAATAACCATTCTTGTAATCTATATTAAATAAAAATTATTCTATTCTATTCAAAGTCCAACTTCTGCAAGACTTCAAATTCCATCTATCCATCCATTACAGTCTATAAAAATCCATTACTGAACATAGGCCTACCAAATAGATTGCCTCATAGGCGGATTTCAGCATAGTTGCCACGCTTGGCAGGCGGATTGGCAACCACAGTTTTTATTATTTAGTTGTTATTTTTAAGATGCTGCTCCCCATCTCCTGTTTTAGTTTTCCTCTGTCGCCTTTTAAGCCGCGTCTCCACCAGTTTTGTTACCAACTTTTGTGTTGCCAACACGTGTTGGTAACAAATGTTTCTGTAATTACCTAGTGTTGGCAACAAAACTTGAAACAATGTCGGGAACCGTGTTAAAACTTTCGGCGGCAACATCAAAGGAATACGCTTGTTGGAAATTTTTGTCGGCAACATCGGAAACAAATGTTGGTAACTTTTGTTGAAACATAAATGTTGTCAACATTTTTGGTGGATACGCGGCTTTAAGACGTCCACGGGAAGATATGGGGTAGTAGATATTCTTACACCACCACTAAACAGTAGCTTTTTATATAAAGTAAGGTGGTGAGGTCAGTGTATTTGCTTTATCATTACATGTTATTTGTTGATAATAAATAAAGTGACAGTAAAAGCACAGTTAACTGTGACTACTGATTTACTTTTAATATTTATATAACATATTATATTATACTCGTACATACAGAGCATGCCTTATTGTCGTTAACATTTTTCCACTTCCCAATCTTAATAGTGTCCTAACAAATAGTGGCCTCTCTATTTGTTAAAAAACTTGTTGAACGTACCACGATCACGTCACACAGAATATCATCGTCGTCATCATCATCACGGATTCAATTTTATTAATTACAGAATCTCAAGAAGATGATAGCACACATCCATCTTTCCTATTGAAATTATGTCTTTTTTTATTTCAATAGCCTCAATAATCATCCTTATTAGGAATTAGTACTCCTTTGAGTGATTTGTCTTAGTGCCATGCTCCCGCCGCCGGTCTGGGTAATTTATTTCTGGACGAGATGAGTATACTGCTATCTATTCGAAGCCCTAAGATTGTTCGGGCATTTCCCATAGATGCCTCTTACAACACTGATGGGATGAAATTGGATGATGAATTTTCTAATGACCACATGTTATCATAATTCATAACAGCCACAAATGAAAATGAAACAGTAGTTATCATCATCACTTTCATAATTTTTAAATTATTGTAGAAATACATACTGTACTTACTTATCAATAAATTCAAAAGAAGTGGCCGTTGTCTGTACATTACTTGCACTTTTTTTGATACTGGTGTTGAGAGCACTAGTTGATGAATTTCTGAAAATCAAAATACATTAAACCAGCTTTTTACCTAATATTTACAAATTTTAATATTTATGTAAATATTAAGTTATTAGTGAAATGAAATGAATGAAAGCTTATTGTTTCCAACATATTCTTAAATTAGTATAAGTTTGAGGACTTCTTTTAAGTATAAACATACTTGTGGTAGAAGGTCCTCGCCCTCCCTTAACTAAATACATTCAACAAAAAAAGAAACAGGGTGTATGTACGTACGTGCACGCGCCCGAGCCCGCGCGTTGGTGCGTGTGTGTGTGCGTGCGTGTGTGTGTGAGTGTGTGTGTGTGTGTGTGTGTGTGTGTGTGTGTGTGTGTGTGTGTGTGTGTGTGTGTGTGTGTGTGTGTGTGTGTGTGTGCGCGTGTGTGTGTGTGTGTGTGTGTGTGTGTGTGTGTGTGTGTGTGTGTGTGTGTGTGTGTGTGTGTACGTGTGTGCATGTGTGCGTGTGTATGTATGAAAAAAGACAGTGAGTAAATGTGTTATAAGCTTATAAGATAAATTGTAAGAAATCTTCAGTTTGATCGTAATTGTCTTAAGCCACTGCATTATTTTTTTCTTACAGTCATATGTCTTTAATGGATATATTTGCAATATTTTATTAATCTGATTGTATAAATGTTCTGATTGTTTGTCATATTGATGTTGCGCAAAGGTGGTTTTCGTTCTCCAAATAGGAGCTACGCTATAATTTCTTCTTTTACTATTGTAAATAGGATTAAAAACCAAAGATTTATGTTCTTAAATAGTGTGTAATATGTACAACTGCCTCACCGAAATCAGCCTACTTGATGCATACAAAAAGCTAGTGGAGTACCTGTACGGTTTAAAATGCATAACCTTTAGTAGACATCTCTGAGCTCTTTCCCCCAAATTACCAACAAATTGGTATACAATATATTATAATAGATTGAGCTAGCGCTACATATATTTGATTCAAAAGATCTATACTGGCAACATGTCTTAAAGTTTTAAATATCCAAGTGAGCTTTCGAATTCTACTAGATATTAATTCAACATGTCTGTACCAGGAAAGTCGCTGATTCACCATAACGCCCAGATACTTTGTATATGAAACTTTTTCAATAGATACACATGTACAGTTACCGCTGGAAGGATTTTTACATTTATGTATTTAGGTTCTAAAATCATCCTTTGGCTGAGATCGACTGGTCATAGAAAAACAAATGAATTGAGTTTCAGTAACGTTAAAAGTAAATAAATTGTTGTCAAGCCAACGAGCAACTTTAGCTAATTGTTTTTCCGCTATTAACTGCACTTCTTCCCACGTTTCTCCCCAACACAACATCGCAGTGTCATCTGCGTATGAGAAAACTCTCCCCATGGTCACACTCATACTACATAGATTATTAATATATACTAAGAATAGCGTAGGGCCCAAGACGCTTCCCTGCGGTACTTCATAATTTACATTTATATAACTACTAGTGTATTGACCTATTCTTACCGTCTGCGTCCTATCAGAGAGGTAGTCTTTTAATAGTTTTAGAGGTGTACCTCTGATTCCGATCCGTTCTAATTTATTGATAAGTATAGGGATTGATACAGTATCAAAGGCTTTTTTTAAATCCAGGAAGACAGCAAGACATTTTTTACCGTTATCTAAAGTATTAACAATTTGAGAACTCAACGCAGCAATTGCATCTTCCGTAGAGCATCCCTTTCTAAAGCCAAATTGAGAGTCTGCTAATATGTCAAATTTAGAGAAATACTGTATAAATCTGTTGTTAATTAACTTTTCCAAAATCTTCGAGAACACTAGCAAGGAGATTGGTCGATAATTACACGCTTCTTTCTTATCTCCACTTTTGTAAATCGGAATTACAATAGATCGCTTCAGCAGCTTCGGAAATACACCCTTTTCAAAACAGGTATTAGCAAAATGGCAGAAGATGGGGACAAGTAATTGTTAAGCCATCTTGAGAAAACCCATTGAAATATTGTCCCATCCAGGGGCGGAATCTGATTTGAGACCTGAAATAATACTATTTATCTCTTCCAGATAGGTTTCAATCATTACAAAGGAAGAATGTGCCTTTACAGATACAGTTTCATGTACTTGATCAATATGGCAAAAAGATGAACAAATATTAGGATTGTTAGTATTTATGTTCTCGGCAAGATTTCTACCAACACTAGCAAAGTACTCGTTTACTTTATCAATCGAATCACCCGGTGAGGATTTCGTACTTAATAAGTCCAAACTATTAACACGTGATTGTTTTGTATAAGTTATATCCTTTATGTGCTTCCAGAGAGATTTTGTTGATTTAGTTGATATTGCTAGAAGTTTCCTTTCATATTCTCGTTTAAGTTTCTTAATTAATTTAGTAACATAGTTACGATACCTTTTATATGTAATTTTTAATACTTCATTATAAGGATCCGATCTTAGCTTTTTTTGCATACAATTCCTATTTCGTATACATTTTAAAATACCTGTAGTTATCCATGGCTTAATTTTTCGCTTCTTACTAGGAATATTTACTATTTTTGTATTTTCTTCAATTGATTCTTTTATTTTATAAATCAATTGATATATGATATAGTCTGGATTATCACTAAAAAGAAGGTTCGATAGGTTTTTTTGAGCTAGACTGGAAAGTGCTTTTGAAAGTCAGTGTTATATTTAAATTTAACATTAATTGCGTTTTGTTTAATATTACTTAATTTTAGTAATATCATAGCATGATCTGTGATAGTAGTGTTTAATACAGCAGTCAGAGCAAAAATAGTTTGTTGATTTAATTTTAGTACAAAATGATTCAAGCAGATGTTCTCTCTTGTAGGGATATAATGTCCCGGTAAAAGCCCATATGTAGAAAGCATATTTAAGTAGTTAGACCTATTCGTTATTTCATATGTTTGTTCTGTAAGTCTAGGTGTTATATTTATATAAATATCTCCCGTTATTACAATATTTGAATGTTTTTTTAACGAGTCCAGATGTTCACTAAGAGAACTGATGAATTGCTCTGCATTGGTATTAGATGGTGACCTATATAAGCCCAGTATTACTAAGTTTTGTAGTTGGATTTGTATGCAAGATGCATGTACCAAATTTATTTCTTTAACATGAGAAGAAATATTTTTTTTTTAATATAAACCACTACACTGTCATTTTGATTTACGTGATGATAAGTGTTATAGACATAGTAATTATCTGGACATGGAATAGGTTTACTAGATTGAATCCTACATTCTGTTAATATTAATATATCTGCATTAACTTGTAGAGAAGTTAATGTCAGTTGGAAATCTTCATAATTGGAATGAATACTTCTTATATTCTGGGATACAATTGTGAAGTCTGTATTTCTAAATTTTAAATATTTATTTAAATCTTCTACATCACATTGATATTCACAAGCTATCTCTATATTGTCCAATTCTTGTAATTTATTGAAAATATTTTTATCCATAGACATTATTATTAAAGACAGACGGACAAGATCGAATGTTACAAATGTACATAATACTTTGATGTAAGGATGGGACAATGTTTGTTATATGTAATTTTGTAAGTAATTGAAGTGTGTTAATGAAATTTGGTAGTTTATATTTATAATATTGTAGTCTAGGTATGTGTTTTATTAGAAATGTTGTAATTTGTAAATTTTTGTAAATAAAACAATCACAAAAATACTTGCGGTACGAACTTAGTAACCCATTAAATAATTTTAAGTACATAATAAACTTATAAATATAGAATACTATGTTTTCAGTTTTATTGTTGTATGAGAGCTAATCTGAACCTAAAAATGCTGCAATAAATGTATATAATTTTTGTATGTATGACTGTGAATTACGTGTGTGAATTGAGAGTTCAGCTTTATTGTCGTATAATAGATAATTTGAAGCTAAAAATAGTGTAATAAATGTATATAGTTTTTGAATGTGACTGTATATTACGTGTATGCATTGAGAGTTCAGTTTTATTTTTGTATGAGAGATAATTTGAGGCTAAAGATACTGTAAAAAAATTATATATTTTTTGTATGTATAACTCTGTTTTAAGTGTGTGAATTAAGAGTCTGTGTTCATTTTGACTATTTACAATGATGCTTAATGTTAACAAGTGCTTACAGTTATTTTTTACAGTATGATATTAATCCTAGTTATAAACATAGACACAAAAACATAACCATGCCAAGAATGAGTCGCGCTTGCAATACACTTTTTTTTTTGTTGTAATTCTTACACAATTCCGTTTTCATGAGGGTAGATGTTAGTAAGTATTGCATAATGATATCTTGTATTTACGCTACTTTATCAGATCCTATCGCGTTTAATTAACTTATTTTTATTAAATTCCCCACGTTTCGGGTGCTTTACAGCACCCAAAGTCACGGGGGACTGAGGTGATTCATGTCCCGATGTCAGAGTTAACTCGGAGTACCTTCAGCTTTTTTTAGTTTTGATCTGATCTACTTTTAATTATAGTCTTGGTGTCTTGAAATCTTGCAGTGGTATGCTTAGATTTAGTTTTAATTTTATTAATTACAGGATCCCAAGCAGTACCCAGCCTCGCTCTCTATTGAAATTAGGATATTTTTTTATTTCAATAGCCCCACGTATCATCCATAGCAGGAATCAATGTTGCTTTTCGAAAATTTCTGGTTTATCAAATCTTTTTTAAAGTGTTCACAAGTGTTTGCTGTGACCCATAGACATCTACATTTATCCTCAATAAAGAATTAAAATGAAGATGCGTCGTCACCCGTGAGGACTAAGATGGAATGCTTTTTTTCCAGTAAAATGGGTCTCCGATTCTCTACACTCACCATACAAAACACAGCAGTGTCAAGCTGCTATTTTACGTTGGTATTCTGTGAGAGCGTGGTCCTTCCCCGGTCGAGCCGACCCATTTGTGCTACAACTATACTACTAATATAGCTGCAGCTTGGCTCTACCACATATAAAAAAATCTAATGTAATGGCGGGGGCCATCTAGAATACGATCACAAACTGCAGACTACCCCGAACGTTGGCGTTTCATGTCAGCTATGTGTTCTTTTACGCCGGTTTTGATAGATCATTTTCTTTGCTTTGTTGTTAAAAAAGAACGTTGACTATTTTTTCATAATGATGAGGTAAATGCCTTCTACAGCCAAAGAACACCTGCAACCTACTTCAAACAATTTTATGGATTTTACGCTTATAATTTATAGCTTTTATGGTCATGTGCTCATGGCTCATGGGTGACCAACGGTCATAGACGGGTCGCCACCATAGGTGGTTAAAAACTTAAATTTAAACGTGATAAATATCTGTATAATTAGTTTCATTTCATCTGTAGTATTTGCATAAATATAAGAAACACCCACACACAAAATACGCGCTTAAACGTCGAGTTGCGGAAAATAATCCGTTGCTAACTAATCTAAATACAAGAAATCACAATGCATTGTGTTTAATGAAGTTATAACTTTTTAAAATCATTGTTATAGGCTTCGTTTAATTTTTTCTATTTATAAAAACAGCTTACTTAACAGAAGCACTAGTTCCAAGGCAGCATCTATTACAGCGGGCAGAAGTTCTTCCTAGAAACTGTTTAGCGGAGCACAGTCTCATGTTCAAAATACGAATCCTCTCAGACAACCGGTCGTTACTTCTTTTTAACTCTGCTATACTGCAAATAAAGATGAAATGAAATATTTCAAGCATCAAGGAATGAATTCTTAATTCAGACGTTGGGCCATGGTAGCTCAAGGGCTAAGCACTTACTGTAACTTTCACAACAATCCCCATTCGATCCCCACCAGCCCTATTGAAATTGTCAATTTCAATTTTAAGTGCCAATATATACTACATGCTTGGCGCTGAAGGAGAACATTTGAAGAAACCTGCAATTCTGTGAAATTTATAAATATTTCAAAGGTTTGTGAAGTTCGCCAACATGCATTAGGGCAGCACGGCAGACTTTTCCCTGACATAATACAGCAGTGGAAAGAGTTAAAAAGATGTAACTTTAATTTACTATATGGGGACACTAGGTTTTACCCATGACTTTTTCCTCATAGAACTTTATAACTTGTCACTCCCACGACTGACTTGACACTGGCAGATTTCTATCAAGAGAAGCCATAATTTAAAAGAATAAGAATTTATGTAAACTACTTAGCTTAAAAGTTTACATTTTATTTGTTATATTATTTTTGGATATCTCTATTGTTATATTTAGATGAGTAAATGGAAAAAATCAATATTTAATATTAATTAAATAAGTCACATATGATACAGATCAACATCATTTAAAAAAATAGTCCACAGGAAACCCCCCAAGGCGTGAACCACAGCATGATTATATTTATACAGAAAAAAAGATTAAATGAAATATTATAATATAATAAAGTAAACAAATAAATAAAACCAAGAAAATAGGAGCTGTCAGCAGTTCGACCAAAAGACCAAGGGTTAGGCGGTTAATTAAATTACTCAAACAAGCAAATTTTGTTACAATATTTTTCTTCACCGCCGAGCATATGGCAAATCAGCATTTACAGCACACAGTTACAGTACACAAACTACAGCTATAATTTCACTGGTATTGGCAGTAATTCTACCAGGATCTCTTACATACTGTGATATTTACGGCTCATACTAAACTATGATAATAAAAAATTCACTTAATAGCTGTGTTATATAAAAATATATTAAATGTAGTACACAAACCAAAGGTGGCACCTCGTTTACACTGCCAATCTGTAATTAGTGGCAAATAGATGTTCTCTTTGAGCTGAGTAATCAGCCACCCATCCATAACAGCCTATTAAGTCCACTGCTGAACATAGGCCTCCCTCATAAATTGAGTCATAGGGAGATTTTGCCTTAGTGTCCATGTTTAGCAGGCTGGTTCGTAACTGCAGATTTTTATAATTATGAATAGTTATCAGGAAGATGCTGCTGCCCATCTCCTGTTTTATTTTCCTTCTGTCGCCTCTTACAACACTTTCAGGACAATATGGGGTAGAAGATATTCTTACACTGCCACTACACGGCGTAATACTTTATAATGTGTATAAATAACTCTTACATTTCTTTCTGCTCACGAATAACACCTTTGCCACCTGAGCAGCAGTCCCTTTCATCTTTCCCAAGACTTGTCTTCTGAGTTGCAGTAAGCCTCTGGACTTTAGTGGACAGTTGTTTAATCTTTTCATTTTGACTATTAATGGTACGTTTTAAGTCCACATTACTGTCAAATAGGGCAAAGTAGAGGTCCTCTAGTTCTCGCTTGCTAAGCTTTGAAGGGCAGGCATGACCAAGTTCTTGAAATTAAAAATAAATTAAATTTAATAGTTTACGATGTATATAAATTTCAAAATTTAATATAATATTACTAGCTATAACGGCATGTAGTTTTGAACAAAACCTTTAAATAAATAATTTGAGTAAAAGAACCTATGAAAGAAGTAAATAGTAATGTTTTATTATCCAACAAATAATATAGTTATAGATCATTACCACGATCTGTAAATTTTGTAGTATGCCCTTTACATGTTTCACGTACAATTTGCTGCTGCACAACATTCATTATAAACTTTAATTTCAATTATGTACCAATATGTAGCAAGTCTTCAAATTTTGGAGTTTCATTCTGTCTACTAAACTAAAACTTTTATAACTCTAACATTACATTCATCGTTTTCTGGCCTTAGAGCCTGGAATTTGCTTCATAATTTTAATTAGCAATAAATATGTAGGAATTTTCATTAATTTAGAATTCACTTCTCCACTTTGATTACATTGTTTGACAATATTACAAAAATGCCGCCATAGCAACGTTTAGTTTTGTCCTTGAACCACAGATTTTGTTTTCTTTTTCGTTGGTAATGGATATGTTTCACTGCATTTTTGCCAGTGCCAAGTAATAGAAAATTATTCTTTATTTCCCATTATTATAGAATAATACAATAGAACTAAACTTATTACACAAAATGGCGTCACTTTTACGTATCCAATTCCACTTTAAACCAGGGTTTGCATGACCAATAAATTATGGGTTATAAAGGTTAAGGGTATGATGTCATATTTTTTTATTGCGATAGCTTAAAATTACGATGTACAAATTTTTCGGTACCGAAAAATAAGGGAGTCCCTACAAAGGTGCGGTGATACTTCATGCCGGAACAGCTGCTTACTTTATATAAAGCGCAAATCCGGTCGCATATGGAGTATTGCTGCCATATATGGGCTGGTGCTGTAAAATGCCACCTAGCAGCTTTGGACACAATGGAAAGGCGTGCTAAGAGGCTTAATGGTAACCCGAATTTGGTTAAAACCAATCTTACTAGCCTCGAACACAGACGCAAAGTAGCCAGCCTATTCGGTTTTCTACAGGATGCATTTCGGAGAGTGTGCGCAGAAATTGCATAATTTGATTCCTCCTTCTCCCTTCCCATGGTTTTTATTGCCTGTAAAATATATGAATTATTGTACCTACTTGGGAGTTTTGCTGGTTTTTTAATTGCCTGAAAACATAATAACTTAAGTGGGTAATGATACTGTTTTTACTATTACACAGTCTGGTAATAACCCACAAACCACAATAAATCTGAAAGGGTATTTCAACTAGTTCTTCTTAAAATTGTGGCATATTTACTCATTCATCTTAATCTACTTGAGCCCTTTCAAATGAGCCCAAACACGATGGTGTTTCGTAGTGGCATAATTGAGACCTTCTACCCCACCTTCTAAGTCCACCATCATGAATGTAATATCATCACAGTGACCTAGGTCTTTATGAGCCCTTTCCAATGAGTTCAAACACGATGGTTATATTTAGTGCCGATACTGAGATCATTTACCCACCTTCGGATTGCCCCATCAGAAAGGTGAGGTCATAACAGTCACCTAGGTCTTTATGAGACCTTTCAAATAGAATTCAAACACGATCGTTCTATCTAGTGCCACCATTGAAATCCTATACCCACCTTCGAATTGCACCATCAGAAAGGTGAGGTCATAACAGTCACCTAGGTATTTATGAGCCCTTTCAAATGAGTTCAAACACGATCGTTCTATTTAGTGCCGTCACATAGATCCTATACCAATCTCCGGATTGCACCATCAGAACGGTGAGGTCATAACACTCATCTAGGTCTTTATGAGCCCTTTCAAATAGAATTCAAACACGATCGTTCTATCTAGTGCCGTCACTGAGATCCTATACCCACCTTTGGATTGTACCATCAGAAAGGTGATATCATCACAGTCTTCTAGGTCTCCATTAACCTTTTTAAAAGTGAGTCCAAACATGATGGTTCTACATAGTAGCATCGCTGAGATCCTTTACCCAACTTCTGAGTCCACCATAAGGAAGGTGACATCATCACAGTCACCTTGGTCTCCATCCTCCGTCAAACAAAATTTTCTAAATATATAAAATAATATAAAATCTAAATAGCATACAAATAATGTAAGTGGCTACTAAGAAAGTAAATACTTACCAATAATTGGAAACTAACTGAAGCCAGCGGATTACGGTGCGCACGGAAAAATCCGCGGGTTGCCGTCAGTTAATTTTTTTTTAAAGAAGAGGAGGCAAACGAGCATGCGGCTCACCTGATGGTAAGTGACTACCGCCGTCCATGAACAACCGCAACACCAGGGGAATTGCAGATGCGTTGCCGGCCTTTTAGAAGGGTGTAAGCTCTTTTCTTGAAGGTTCCTAAGTCGTATCGGTCCGGAAAATTCGCTGATGGTAATTGATTCCACAAGGAGGTTGTGCGAGGGAGAAAACTTCTTCTAAATCGCACAGTGGTGGACCGCCAATCATCCAGATGGTATGGATGGTAACGCGAGTTTTGTCGCGATGTGCGATGCTGAAATTGAGCGGCTGGAATTAGTTCGAACAATTCCTCAGAGAACTCCCCGTGATAGATGCGATAAAATACGCAAAGAGATGCAACATTTCTACGCAGTGCCAGTGTATCGAGCCGATCAAAAAGAACTCGATCGTCGACGATTCGAACCGCTCTGCGCTGGATGCGGTCAAGTGGAAGGAGCTGGCACTGGGGTGCCCCGGCCCAGAGATGAGAACAGTATTCCATGTGGGGCCGAACTTGCGCTTTGTAAAGTTGCAAACGATGTGCCGGCATGAAATACTGTCTCGCTCTGCTGAGCACGCCAAGCTTTTTAGAGGCTAATTTGGCCTTCCCTTCCAAGTGACCACGAAACTGCACACTATTCGATATGTCGACGCCAAGGATTCCGATACTAGCTGTGGCAGCAAGGGGAGTGCCTTGAAACTGAGGAGATACGACAAAGGGGTTCTTTTTAGCGGTAAACGCGCAAACTTGTGTTTTCTGGGGATTGATCTGGACTAGATTTAGTCGCCCCCAATCCGAGACTATGTTAAGCAAAGACTCGACTTCAGGCACAAGTTTGTCCCGGTACTCGGCGACGTTTTCCCGAGAAATATTGGCACGGCTGGTATATAAGGCATCTCCAGTGCTGTCGTCCGCATAGCAATGAATGTTACCAGTTAGCAACATATCATTGATATGCAGGAGAAACAGCGTTGGTGATAGCAGGCAGCCTTGTGGAACACCAGCATTGATAGGCTTGAAATTAGAGCATGCACCGTCTACTACGACCTTGATGCTCCGATCAGCAAGGAAACTGGTGATCCATTTACACAATTTCTCGGGAAGCCCATAGGAAGGAAACTTCGAAAGAAGCGCTTTGTGCCAGACCCGATCGAAGGCCTTCGCTATGTCCAAACTAACGGCCAATGCCACCCCCTTGGACTCTACTGCCTCCGCCCATCTATGAGTCAGATAGACTAGAAGATCATCAGCTGATCGACCCCGACGAAAACCGTACTGGCGGTCACTAATCAGCTGGTGATCCTCAAGGTACCTCATGAGCTGGCAGTTTATAATGGATTCCATTATTTTGGAGAACAAGGAGGTGATGGCGATAGGCCTGTAGTTGGACGGGTCTGAGCGGTCGCCTTTTTTAAGGATCGGGTGAACGAAAGCTGTCTTCCATGAATTTGGGACTACGCCTTGGGAGTAGGAGTACCGGAAAAGACGCGTCGAAACCGGTGCCAACTCCGGAGCACACGTCTTCAGCACAATGGGAGGGACTCCATCGGGCCCGCTTGACTTGCTGACTTCCAGGGAGAAGAGTGCTTTGCGAACCGAGCGCTGTGTAAACCGCACATCTGGCATGGAGCACTCACATCGCGGGATGGTCGGCGGTGTGTTGCCCCCGTCATCTAGAGTCGAGTTGGACGCAAAGAGAGAGCTCAACAGATCGGTTTTCTCCTTTGCGGCATAGGCCAGTGAGTCGTCCTCTCTGTGCAGAGATGGAAGAGATGGCTGACAGAGGTTCCCTTAGACAGCCTTGGCGAGAGAATAGAATGCACGGGTTCCCGAAGGAAGGCGAACTAGCTTCTCGCCAATTCTGCCGTTGTGCTCATACCTTGCCTTGGCAATGACGCTTTTGAATGACCTGGAGGCGGAATCATACTTCTTTTTAAGTGCGCTGGTGTTTACATCCCGAGACGTTGATGCGTCAGCTTAGGCCCGGTAGCACTCCTGCTTATAGCGTGATGCTATTTTACTGGAGCGACCAAACGATGGCTGGGATCTGCCTCTGATGGGCACCACAGAGGATAGAATAAAAAGTTCCATACCCTGAAGTACCACATCAGCAACAGAATCGGCAACAACGCTGGGATCTTCCGGCGAGAAGCAAACCCGCCCCCAAGGGTAGGATGCAAAAAAAGACCGCATCCCGTCCCAATCAGCTGACCTATAATGCCAAACACGGCGGCAAGCTGCAGATCGCAACTACGATTGGAGCGTGAGTGGCACCGTACTCCGGATCAGACAATGGTCCGAAGAGCCCAGAGGGGCATCGACGGAGACCTGATATCCGTCCGGATGAAAGGTCAGCAGAAGGTCCAACAGGGAAGGTACATGGCCTTCCACATCTGGGATCCGCGTAGGCGAAGTAACCAGTTTCAACTTAAGATTTCACACTCACGGTCAGTTTTTGGATGTACGTCAGTTCAACTGAACAGTTTAACTGACAGTAGGCCCGAAAAAATCCGTGGGTTGCCGTCAGTTAAAAATTTCAACTTAAAATTTCACACTCACGGTTAGTTTTTGGATGTACGTCAGTTAAAATGATCAGTTTGACTGGCCGTGTGTGGAGACCATAATCGAAAATTTGAATTTTGAATAACACTTCCATATTTGGATAATTTGAGACACTTAGTTACCCCAAATAATCTCTGAAAATAAAACTGTAATAAACAGACAAACATTGAAGTGTAAGATTAAGAACCTAGGTGATAATTGAGAGCTTTAAAATTCCTTTAAATTATGTTTTTTCCCAGAATTTCGATGTTTCATTGATATGCAAGTAGGTATAAGTTTTATTATATAGAGTACGTGAGGGTAATATGGTCATCCGGTTAATATGGTCACTTTCTTATAACTCAAAAACTAGAGCCTAATTTGCATAGATGGCTTTGTGATACGATAGCTCTTCATCAGTCATTCAAATAATAAAGGGTCAAAAGGCCGCCGCTTTATGGACGCCATTTTGACAGTTGATATTATAGTAAGTACGTGAGGGTAATGTGGTCACCTTAAGCTATATCGCCCTATAAAACCAAAATTAGGAGGGGAACAGAGACAAAAACACAAAGTCGTATACTATAACTGATATATTAAGAAAAAAAAAGCAAACAAGCATTGGAAATAATTAGACACTTCGAAAAATCAACATAAAAAAGC